CGCCAACGCTCGCTTCCTCCACGGGACCGAAGCCCTCTGCCTCAACCCCAAGCGCCCCCCTCGCCGCCTCCCCTCCTCCGACGATCGCCGCTCCATCTCCGCCGTCTGGTCCCACCGCAAGGCCCCCTTCCTACGACAAGCAGAACGATAAGAAGAAGGCCCGGTCATCGTCCCTTTGGCGATGGAACCCAATCAAAGAGGCCCTCTCCCACATCGGCGGTCACCTCCGCACCGACTGCTGCTTCTCCCTCCACGTTCACTCCATCGAGGGTCTCCCTTCGGCCCTCACCGGCGCCGCAATCTCCGTGCACTGGCGTCGGACCACCGATCCCACCTCCGCCGCCGTCGCCACCCGTCCCATCCACGTCCTCCACGGCGCCGCCTAGTTCGGGGAGACCCTCACCTGCCGCTGCTCTGTCCACGGGGCACCTACCGGACCGGGCGGCACGGCCAAGTACAATGCACGGCACTTCCTGATCCACCCGGCCCTTGCGGGCGGCTTCCCTGGGGTGGACCTTGGGCGCCACCTAGCGGACCTCACACGCGTGCTTCCGGCCACCCTCGAGGGGCTCGACAATGAGGAGAAGGCGTTCGGCAAGTGGAGCACGACCTACCGGCTGTCGGGGAGGGCAAGGGACGCTTCGCGTAATGTCGGCTTCGGTTTCTCACTGGTTGGGAACAATTATGTGGATTCCGGCGCCCGAGAGAGGAAGGTCTCCGAAGCAGGTCTTGACTTGCTATTATTGGCGGGCTCAATGTCTCATGCGGAAAGCCAGCTTCAACATCAAGACCGGTGCCGGTTGTTGAAGGATGTTAAGGTGCATCGTGAGGTCTTAGTTTTGGTTAATTTTGTGAAGGAAATGGAACCGGATAAGTCTGATGCGTCAAAGGAACTTTGTACTTTGGATGTCGATGCAAAACCAGAGTTTGAGTTTATGATTGGAACAGGAGCAATCGACTGAGTTGCAACCTCGTGCATTATCAGTGCACCCGGAAGGACCCGAAGAAGAGTCGCAGGTCTGGGAAGGAACTGAGGAGTCACATATGCTGAATCCTTGTATCTTGCCGGAGCTACTCAAAAGAAGTGATGAACGAGAATGCGATGAGCCTGGATTCATGGTGATTGGAAACGTGGTAGAGAGAGAACTGAGCTTGAGAAGATGGAGTATGCGGATGGTGACAAGGGAGGTGAGGCAATGAAAGAAGAAGGATCATATATGAAGCCTGATGAATCAGCCGCAGATAAAGCTCAGCATGAGAGCCATAATCTGCAAGAGGTTGCATTCTTGGCAGGTGAACCAGTTGCACAAGAAACTCAGCATTACATTTCTAATCCACAAGATGGAAGACCCAGATTCTATATTCCTTAGCCTCTCGACTCTTGAATCAGAGGAATTTGAGTCTCCAGATATCCCAGGCAAACCGAGCAAGCAACTAAGTCATGAGGCCATCAAGTCTAATCACAAGATGGCAAGCTTGAAGAGCATGTCCCGTAGTTTAGTTGCTGTTCCAGAATCTGTGGCCAGCGAGTTCTTAAGCATGCTTGGCAAAGAGGACAGCCTTTTTGGATTGAGTTCCGACAGTGACCCAGATTTACTGAGGGAACAATTATGGAAGCAGTTCGAGAAGGAATCATTAGCTTCATGTGATGATCTCTTTGGTCTTGACTCTTGAGTCTCTTGACAATGGAATGGAGATGCAGTCCTGTTGGGATGACCGTTCAGATGGTCTTGATCTTTCATTAATAGTTCGAGAAGCTGAAACAAAGCTTCAAAAGATAGAATCAACACTAAACATCAAATCCAGGGCTAAAATGCTGGAAGATGCAGAAACAGAAGCTTTGATTGATGAGTGGGGCTTGAATGAGAAGGCCTTTCATTGCTTTCCACCTGACAGAAGGGGTGGCTTTGGTAGTCCCATTAACCTGGGTCGGGTCCAATTGTTCACTGGAGGAGCCACTTGAGTTGCCAGCCCTTGTTGAGGGCTTGGGTCCAATTGTTCAGACAAAAGATGGAGGCTTCTTGCGATCCATGAACCCATCACTTTTCAGAGATGCAGAGAACAATGGGACTTTGATCATGCAGGTGTCTGGCCTCATTGTGGTTCCTGCAGAAATGGGTTCTGGTATTATGGAGATATTGCAGCAATTAGCTTCTATGGGCATTGAAAAACTATCGAGGCAAGCAAGCAAGTTGATGCCTCTGGAAGATCTCACTGGGAAAACTTCGCAACGGATAGCCTGGGATTCTGCAACAGCTCTGGATTCTTGTGAAAGGTCTGGGAATTTTGTTATCTGGTTATCTTCAAATTTAGTTTTTGTTGTAGGTTTATTTGTGTTAAGAGTCTTCTGATGCCAACTAAAATCTTCTCCAATTCTTATACAGGCATGACTTGATAGAAAATAATTATGCCCCAGGGGGTTGGGTGCTTCTCAGAATGTCGATGGGAGGAGGGAGAAAAGTAAAGGAATGACTCTAGCTTGCTCCAGCAGTGGAGAAATGAGCTCTGAATATGTTTCACTGGAGGATATGACTGCAATGGCAATGGATAATAATATTGAAGCCCTATCAATCGGAGGGGTTGAGCATACAGACATGCATTTCTGATGAAGAAGCACCTATAAACATCATCCCCCAGTCTATGGGGAAAATTTCATCATTGGAAGGAAATGTAGCTAAAGATAGCTGGTCTCCGGGTTTGGTGGGCACAGGGATTACAACTTCTGGCCATTAAAGACAGTGGGGATGACATTGATGGCTTGATGGGTTGGTCTATAGCACTAGATGAGTGGATGAATCTTGATTCAGGCATAATTGATGAGGATGATCACATCAATGATCGAACATCAAAGATTCTGGCAGCCCATCATGCTGATTCGATGGAGTTGATTTGTTGAGGGGAAAAGAGACACTAGAGGTGGGAAAAGATCCGGTAGGAAGTGGGGATTGTTGGGGAACAACATCACAGTTGCTCTGATGGTACAACTACTTACAAACTATGAGCCAGTTGCCACGCCAATGCTTGCTTGCTTGCTTTAATTCAAGTTGAGCGGGTTTTTGTTCCACCAAAACCAAAAATATACAGCACTGTTTCAGCAAAAGGAAATAGTGAACAAGAAGATGAGGTTGAGACTGAAAGCAAACCATCAGCTAAGGCGGAGAATCATGAAGAAGAGGTCATCCGTCAGTTTAAAATCACTGAGGTACATGTTGCAGGTCTAAAGACTGAATCTAGCAAGATAAATGTCCCGGGTAATCCCAAGCAGCAGCAATCTGGTTCTAGGTGGTTGCTTGCTACTGGAATCGGTAAGAGCAATAAGCATCCATTTATGAAGTCGAGGACCGTTGCAAAACCTTCTAAAGAAATGAGTGCCAAAGTTCAGCCAGGAGATACTCTTTGGAGCATTTCTTCACGTATTCATGACAGTGGGGCCAAATGGACAGAGCTTGCAGCTCTGAACCCTCATATAAGGAACCCTGATATCATCTTCCCCAGTACACATAGCACATGTTAAATCTATGTTATATGAGTGTTTTGTTCATAAGCCTTTGTCGGGTGGGCATTGTTGAGTTGCATAGGTGCATCACATTCAATGTTCAGCTACTGCAGCTTAATAGTGCAGCCACCCATCGGGTGTAGGTGTTATATTTTGTTGATGAGGTTCACTTTGCGCATACACTTCTTCAAACAAATGTTAATACTCATGTTATGTTTGTTATCAAGCATATTTCAACAAATAGATATACACTGTTTTGTCTCCACGTAAATTGATCATTCAGAGGGTGTCAGTTTTATACATCAAAATTGAAAATTAAAACTTTTGGCTCTTGAGAATGTATTTACTTGTTTCTCGATTTATTATAATTGTTCAGACCTTTTTCTGCTATGGATGATAAGATATCTGGAATGTACTTCTTACCAAAGTATTGCCAGATTTAGCTATCTTTCCTGATCCATTGCTGACTTTTCCTAGCATTACTTTTTTCTTTTAGTTCATAACTATGTGCTTTTGGAATGTTGCTTCCATCAGATAAACCAATTGAGCTCATATTGGCATTTCTAACATCATGGTTTTGTTGTAGCGAAAAAAAATTCATTTAAGTATTACATAATGTTCGAAATATTGGCCTCATGATTGTGTATACCGCCCCTTAATAATTAATGTATATTCATTGCAATTAATGTCTTTTATCATGATCTGGAATTCCGATATCTCATCCGTTCGATCGAGATCAAGAGGTGGATGTTTCATCTAACGCATGCCACTCGGCGCACGCATCGGGTATCGCGACAAAAACGCTTCGGTTACATTTTCTACTGTCGCGTTTCGGGCTCCGTGTTGGTCGGAGCCACGTGCGACAACGCCTTTACGCCCTCGCCTCTCATTGGCTAAGCGGCCAATCACAAGCCAGAGAGGGACCCACTTTCGCTCCAATCACAATCCAGGTATCCGATGGAGCCTCGTCCTGGTGCCGAGCAGAACCAGAATAATTGCTCGCGAACCACGAGCCGAACTCCGTTACATGTAACGCGAATTCGGAATTGGAAAGCGGGCACGGAACACCATATACCCGCCCGTTGGTGTACCACCGAAACGATTAACACGATGATTTATCCCCATACATTCCATTCGTCCAACTTAGATTAAAATATTTATTAATATTTATAGATAATTGATTGAATTCCATATATTTTTCAGATAGCGGTAAATTTAGATACCAATCTCCTGTTAGGAGGACACATTAGAAGACATCAATCCACGTGGCATAGATATCGAGATAATTTCATAAATTAATTAAAAGAAAAAAAAAAGTACGTCTTCTGTTACAACTGTGTAAAAGAGTTATTTTTTTGGATTTGAAGGGGTAGACACGTACAAACGTGTTTGTAGGCTAATTTACAGCAAAACAAAACAAGGATTACGGCAGTACACTCCCTTCATTTCGTAGGTCTTCCGCCTTCTCGCTCTCTCAGCAAGGGAAGGGAAACCGTAGACTCCTTTCCTTTCCCTTCCCATCATAATAACCCCGCGTTGTTTTCTCTTGGTTTTTTTCTGTTGTTGTTGGGGTTTTTCTCTTTCGGTGGGTAGACTTCGCAACCAACCCCAGCAGCTGCTGCCCTTCTCCCTTGCAGCCCACGAGCGATACCGCGCGAGTCCAAGAAGAAGAAGCAAGAAGCAAGAGGCAAGAGATAAGAAGAAGCGCCGCCTCCCGAATCCCTTTTATCGTCGGTAGCTCCTCTCGCGATCTCCGCCCGATCTCGCCTCGATCGCCCCTCCGATAGCCGGGGATTCCGATCCCCGGCGGATGATCCATGGTACCACGTCGCCGACCCTTCTCTTTGTTTGGATATCTTGCTTGTTCTGCGTGCGGTCGCACCTAATTGAATAGTGCCGGTTGATGAATGGGCGAAATATAACGAGTTCTTGATTTCTGATGATGATCGGACCACGTGATGCTGCGGTAAAAATGGAGTGCGGCGAATTGTGCTTTTGCCTTTTCTTTTTGGCTTTCGATTCTTTTCTCTTCTTGCCAAGAAGTTGCTCTTGGTGTTCTACATATTGTGGTGGGCGGGGCGGGTGGGTGGTGTGTGTGCGTGTATTTGCTAATTTTCAAAGGCAACTAAGCGAGGGATTCTTGAAATTTGTTATGGGACAAAGTGTGCAAGATTTGCCCTCGATGTTCTATATATTGGAAGGTAACCCAACGAATTTTATGAGTAAGCAGTAACGTAGATCTTGAGGATTACTGCTGTGGCGGCTGCTTCTGCTACGTAATTCACGTTCAAGAAGATTTCATTCTAGTTTTGGATGGGATTGAGTGGGTTCCTTTGTTATTAGGTTTTTCCATACATCCGAAGCATATGCTGGAAACAATGTGATTTGTGAGTAGTTATGCTGGACAGAAAAAAAAAATCTATTGACCGAGAAATGTGGCAACTGAAGAGGATCTAGAATCTGATAATCAATTCCATCATTATTGCAAGGTTTAATGTGCCTTGTTAAGAGAGTTCTTCTTAGTTGTTTTTATTGCACATCAAACACTTCGCTCTTTTTCATGATCTCCTAGTTGTCATTGCTGCTTGCTTCTCTTCCTTCTCTTCTTTTCCCACTTCTCGCTTTAAAAGCTTCTTTTCTTGGTTTTTGGTCGGGATTGGCCAAATTTGGAAAAATTGACCATCCTTCATCCAATTCCCTTCGGCTATGTTCAATTCTGGAGATTTTGTTGAATCTGATGATAAAGCTGAGAAATAAACTAAAATTAGATTGGGATTGGAAATAGCACACTACTGTTTGCATCTTTAGTTATCCTACATTTTGTGGTGGTGAATGATTCTCTGAGAATAGGGTAATTATAATAGCTTTATATGTTTAGTTCTTGGTTACATGTCGTGGGATTGCACAACTTATTTAAACGAATATCACTTGATCATTGTAACATGTTTAATTATGTTTTAAAATTAACAAAAAATTGAAAGGAGGGAGAAGTTATTACTTGGTAGATCAGTGTGTCCATAATGGATTCATTTACACCAAGAAAAATAGGGTGTATGTGCCTTGGGGCAAAAGCGCAATAAGCGATACTCTTAATGATTAAGATGCTCGAATCATCCTTGCTCTTGATCGGTCTTGTTTGAACCAGTGGGGATATGCTTGTCATGTACACTTGGTTGGAGAGCCTTTCTACCTTCAAGTACTTTAATGATTCATTGATTCTATTTCATGAACCTAGGGCCCTGAACGATAGTCCATTTGGAAACCATATGTTGTTTTCTTGGTTTTTGTTTAAAAGGTGACATACTGTAAAATTTGGATGGAAGGTGTAATGTTTATTTTTGTGTTGATTTGGCTGAAAATAATTTTATTTTGGTGCTGATAGATGAATCAACATTTGAATAAAGTAAGAAATCTTTGAGGAATCTAAACTTAGAAACTGAAGGGTAACCATGGTACAATTTGTATCTCAGAATAAATGCTTGGAATATGACCAGCATATGATAATTATGTTCCTTTCTGAACAATGGACTCAAATTAGATAAAGTGAGCACATTTGGAAGTAGATTTGTGATCGTCTCATATTAGAGGGACTTGTTGGATTTGTGAAACTTAAATAAAGAATTCCATGGATTGCACAGCACATATTTGGTTAAGGTTGATGATAGCCTTAGCATCTAGAGTGCCAACCTTGTTAGAAGCATTGGGATTATCAGGCAGGCATCTTTCTAATAATCAAGAGATATTGAGATTTGCACAAAAAAATATGTTTTTTTCATTAAATTTCTTTTAAAATATAGATTTGATATTTAATAAAATAATCAAAGTTTTAGTACTATATAATAATTTCACATTGTATCAATTTCTGTAGTCAAATATCTTGCGTGCATATGCGATTTGAAACAGAAGCAAATATGTGACGAATGATTAGCATCTGAGGTTATTTTGTTACCACCACATGCTAAAAATGTAACTGACTTATCTTCAACATAAATACCAGATTTTTTTAATGCACAAGAAGGTGCTTATAAGGGCAGATTAAGTGCTTGAAACTTCGTTGTTTTGATTATTTAAAGCACGAATTAGCAGTGCTAGGTGTGTTACCTTGTGCCAATTTGTACGTATCTCACAATCCAAACTTGGCATTGGCATGTATCATGAGATGTACCCATATATGGTTGTTAGCACCTGACTAGTGAGGGCATGTTGAGACACCTGTGCTCTTAATACTTCCATGCTAATTGGTTTCTTCACATAGCTGTTCCTCATGAAGTAAATCTGTGTCTAACGAGGTCTTTACCATGCTTTGATGTGGTTACACTTTGACTTATAAATGCTTTTTCTCGATGAATCCTGATCTACAAATTCATTTACAGGCAAGCCCAGAAAACATTATTGTAGGTTCTCATGTGTGGGTTGAAGATCCAGTTGTGGCTTGGACTGATGGAGAGGTTTTTCAGATTGGTGGTCATCAGGTCCATGTGCGCACAACTAATGGGAAAACGGTATGACTGCAAATAGTTGACCGACATAATAGATGACCTAGATTTTATCATGATTGTTATTGTAATTATTACTTGTTATTTATTTTTATTATCTTGTTGAAAGACCTTGACATAAGTTATTTGACTAGTAAATTGAATTCTTCATTTCCGAATTTATCTATTCATTCAATGAACAAGAATAGTTCATTCACTATCTCTTTCTACTTTTAGTGAAAGTATTTAGTGCTCCTTGATATTTCACTCAATGTAACTGAGTTCATATAGTCGAGAACATAATTTGCGTGTCTTATGTGTATGTGTATCTTTTTGACCTGAGGTTTGATGGCAACAATGAGATCTATGTAAAATGGAAGCTGTTAAGACGAGTGGCTCTAATCATCGACACTACTCCCCTAGTTGATACAAAGATAAAGTTCTGCCCAATGCGACATATGTATTCCTTTGTGGCTAACCATAGTTGAAACCAAAGAATTAATCTGGGATCCAGATAAATTGCTCATCCTAAAGCAGAATAGAAAGTTCCGGGTAAAGATATGAAATACACTTGGAACTCTCTTTTAATGCTGAATAGTTTGAAAATGAGCCAAATTTACAAAACTAATTTTCACTTCATGGTACATATGTTCCCGAGTGTAGCTAGCAAAGATACAGTGCATCAGATATATATATATATATCGAAAAAGTAAAATTATATTAGACTGTTAGAGTTCTACAGAACGATAAATGTAAGGCATTATACAGGAGAGTACATAGTGAAGCGGGGAAAGAGCTTTCCCAGCAGATGGAAATTCTGTTGATTCTTGCTGTGTTGGCTACCCACTTGCACTCCCTATAGCATTGGACAATTTTATAGGATAATAGTTTTGACAGCAACTCCAGTGTCTTGAATTGTATGTGAGATACACCATGGAAGCTCCTTATTTGATGTGAGCAGCTCAACAATTGTTGCAGAATCCATCTCTAGAAGAACTTGTGTGTAGTGCTTGTCAATAGCATATTGCAGTCCTATTTTGATTGCCAGGGCTTCACATTGAAGGGCAGTTTTCCTCCTTTATATTGTAGCCCAGGAGCCTTACAGGTTCCTTCGTGATTGATCCCTGATGGTGAAGCCAAAACCACCTTCCTGCAGAAGAGAGCAACCATCAGAATTCAACTTAAACCAGCCTCCAGGTGGTTTTTCCCAATTGAGTCAAATTGTATCGAATAACTTATTCCCTTCAGATATTTGTGCTTTAGCATAGTAGCTAGTATGGGCTAAACTCTAAAGCCTGCGCCCAAGCCCAATGAATGGAAGTCTTCCTCTTATTGAAAATGGCTTCATTTCTCATTTTCCAGATGAACCAAAGCTAGTTTGCTATAGCAGCCCCTAGCATGTTTCCTATTCCACAGTTTTTATTTTCCCTTAACCAATCCCCCAGAATCCATGATACTCGGTATTCAAAAGTAATGACAAGCTTTGTGGGGATTTTGTAAGAGTGTTTTCCCATGTACTTCATTCATTTGATACATGAGATCAGCAAGAATCACTTCATTGCTTAAGATACCAGCTAGAATTGCCACATTTTTTTCCACTTTTGTTAGTTCAATCACCAGTTACTTGTCTTTTATTGTGGCTACACTTTCTTTTCCCTTACATTCTTTCTCAACTGCAAGACCTCAGTTACCCTTGATTACATGAAGTTAGGGTCTTCTATAGTTGATTTATATCAAATGAGAAATCTTCCAACCTCATTTTGAATTTGAGCCACAATGCAGCATAATTCTGGAGTCTGTAAACTGTTATAAATCAAGTTCATGAAAGTTTCAGATGCTGTGGCTCGCTGAATGTTATGAATTCAAGACACAAATGCAGCCCAATTTTGGAGTGTGTAAATTGTAAAAATCATGTCCATGGAAGTATTAGGTGCTATGCCTTTCTGAACGTTATCTTTCATCTCATCATAGACAATAATAACCTAAATAACCATCATATATTAGGATGCATTGTATCATATAACTAACCTATCGGACTAGAATTTCCCAGAATGTAATAACATTTTAGTGCCTGCAATTAATCATATCCTCTTGCAGATGTCATTTAGAACTAAATGGCTTGAATGGCTCTTGTAATAAATTAATACTTTAACCTTCAAACTGAAGATTTAGTTTTGTTGCATGTAAACATAAGAAAATGAGGAATGTTGGGAAGAAATTATGTTACAGGTGGTATGCTAAACGATCAAGACATCAATATGGTAGTTAGACACTGCTAGATCCACTACAGTCCCAAGGCTTAAGCTAGTAGATTACAAGCCAACACCAAAATATTAGCCCATCTATTTAATCTCTTAGCCATGAGGGATTAACACATATAGATGAAAGAAACTACAATTCTCTATCCATTAGTCTGTTAGATAAAATTTAAATGTGTAAGATTTTATATAACAAGATCGCTACTTGATAGTTGTAGAAACTAGTGTTTTAAAAAACGTTAGACGCCAAGGTCCTAAAATACCCTAGGCGTTAGGCCCTCACCTAGGTGCCCGCTCGAGTGAAGCGAGGCACTTTGAAATATTAAAATTATATATATATATATATATATATATATATATATATATATATATATAATATAATTGATAAATATGATTAACAATGCTAAATAGGTACTGTTATATGGTAACGGTAGTTAACACTTAATAATAATTTTAATATCAGTTAAGGATTAACAATCTACTGTTATAGTATTTAATCTACTATTAGTTAAGAGGGGTTGAAAAGAGTCACCGATAGTGGAACATGGGGAAGGAGGAAAATTCGGACAGTGGCAGGGAGAAAAAAAGTCACCGACAGTGGAACATGGGGAAATAGGAACTTTTGGATGATTGCAACGGCAGTGGAGGAAGCTGCGGATGGTGGTGGTAGTGATGGAGAAAGCTTCAAACGACGACAATGGTGGCGGAGAGAACTGCACATAAAGCTAGACCTTCTGACTCATCCATCAGCTATAGAGGAAGCGTTAGACCTGTGCCTTAGCGGTGGAGATAGCAGCTGCACATGAAGGCAGGGATGGGAGTAGAGGTGTGTCGGGGCGGCGACGTAGGGTTTATGGGTCCGGGTCACACGAGTGGGGGGGGTGGGGAAGGTTTGGGGTTAGGGTTTTATTGTTTTGCTTAGTTGGTTCAATCGAACCTACTAAGCGACTGTTCAACCAAACTAGAGTTGATCATCTGGTTCAGTTGCTTTGCTTCAATCGGGCACTCGCCCGAGGCGCCTGACGCCTAGGTTCAGGTGAGCGCCCAAGCAATGCTTCACTGAAGCGCATCGCCCGACTACTGTGTGAGGCGCTCGGGCCTCACCTCACCCGATCACCTAGGTGAGCGCCTGAGCGTATTTTTAAATTACTAGTAGAATAGTGGCTGGTGGGAATGTATATGAGCATGCATGTTTGATTTATGGAAATTTTAATGACAGAATCTGAACTTTCATGCAGATTAACTGTTCTTAATTCTAGTCTGCAAATTCTGTAATTATTTGATGGGGTTACTACCAACATGTAAAGTAGAAATATAATTAATTCATTGGTGTTAAATTTTGGTTCTGTAAGTTTGCTGAATAATGTGGTCATCTGATTCATTTTGGCATAAAGGTTGTGGCAAATCTGTCAAAGGTGTTTCCCAAAGATACAGAAGCCCCACCTGCAGGAGTAGATGACATGACAAAATTATCGTATTTGCATGAACCTGGGGTTTTGCAGAACCTGGCCACACGTTATGAACTTAATGAAATATATGTAAGAAACTTCTCTTTTTCATTCTACTTTGGTGGTGAATTCTATTGACCAAACAATAAAAGATCACATCCATTATCTTTAATTGCAAATTCTCTGAACATTCCAGACATACACTGGTAATATCCTGATTGCAGTAAACCCATTTCAAAGATTGCCGCATCTTTATGATACCCATATGATGGAACAATATAAGGGAGCAACATTTGGGGAGCTAAGCCCACATGTTTTCGCAGTTGCTGATGTTGCTTACAGGTGATCTTGATTTTATTTGAGGTATGGAAAACCTATTTTCTTTTCTGACATTTTATAAAATGGAAACAGGGCAATGATCAATGAAGCAAAAAGCAACTCCATCTTGGTCAGTGGAGAAAGTGGTGCTGGTAAAACTGAGACAACAAAGATGCTTATGAGATATCTGGCATACTTAGGTGGACGATCTGGAATTGAAGGACGGACTGTTGAACAGCAAGTTCTGGAAGTAAGACATTATTGAGTTGTTTCTGAGGATGAACTCATGATCTGTTAAAAGCATACTCACTTTTCCCCTCAAGCAAAATAAAGCTTCAGGTGCAGTTTGGATTAATTTTCTGTGTTTTGTATTAGTCTAATCCAGTTCTTGAAGCTTTTGGGAACGCCAAAACTGTTCGGAATAACAACTCAAGGTATGTTTTCTCTTTTGTTTATTCCCATATATGGAGAAATTTCTTCTTTCAAGGGAAACTTGGTTATATTTATGTGAAATTGGGAATATATTTTTGTTTGCTGGAATTTATTTCTTCTTTGTGCTTTTGTGTATCATCATATCCACCTAACTGGTTGTATTTTTCATCTATGTTCGTGATATCACAATTAAGTCGGTTTGGTAAGTTTGTTGAGATTCAATTTGACAAGAGTGGGAGGATTTCTGGTGCTGCTATTAGAACCTACTTGCTTGAAAGATCTCGTGTCTGCCAAATTAATGATCCTGAGAGAAACTATCATTGCTTTTACCTTCTATGTGCTGCTCCTAATAAGGTACTTCTCTTATTTTTTGACTGGAATCTGGATCATTTCATGCTAGTGTTGACCTTATTATTGTTTTATTTTGTGTTGCATCAAGGAAAGACAACTTGCATACTGACATCTCTGTATGTGTATATGTATGTGTCATATTACTTGAATGGCAGGATATAGAGCGGTATAAGTTGGGGAATCCTAAATCATTCCACTATTTAAACCAATCCAATTGCTTTAAATTGGATGGAGTTGATGATGCCGAAGAATATATAGCAACTAGAAGGGCCATGGATATAGTTGGAATAAGTGTGCAAGAACAGGTGTGAAACTTTTGTCAATGTTGAGGATATCTAAATTCTACATTGAGAATTGTTTTAAGTTTAGTTGTTTTAGTTTTATTAATTTTATTATGAATTTTTAATTCATGAAGATATTAAAATATTAAGATGAGAATTTAATGTTTTCTTGTACATAATCTAGGAAGCGATCTTCAGGGTTGTAGCTGCTATACTTCATCTTGGGAACATTGATTTTGCCAAGGGACCAGAGATAGATTCATCTGTTATCAAGGATGATAAGTCAAGATTTCATCTAAACATGACAGCTGAACTTCTGATGTGTGACCAAAATTTCTGATTACATAGCACATAGGATTCTTTTAACCAACAGCATTACTTAATTTTCCTGCAATGCATATGGCAGGTGTGATGCCCAGAGTCTGGAAAATGCGCTGATCAAGCGTGTCATGGTAACGCCTGAAGAAGTTATCACAAGAACTCTTGATCCTGCTTCTGCTATTGTTAGCAGAGATGGTTTTTCAAAAACCATCTATTCCCGCTTATTTGATTGGTAGTGAAATGTTTTTGTGACAAGTATCTGCTGCAAAATACATAACTTTCTTAATATATTGAGCCATTGTGGGGCTTCTTTGTTTTTTTCATACTGACATAATCTTTGAACTGATTATGTCATCAACAGGCTGGTGGATAAAATTAATGTGTCAATTGGTCAGGATCCAAATTCAAAGCATTTGATTGGGGTCCTTGATATTTATGGTTTTGAAAGTTTCAAATGTAATAGGTAATTCATCAATAAAGTAAAGCAAGCATTGTTTTCCATTTATTAATATTATTTGTTAAATAATTATGTAAACTGTCATCTTGCTTGCTGGTAACAGTTTTGAACAGTTCTGTATCAATTTTACGAATGAAAAGCTGCAACAACATTTCAACCAGGTTTTCCTGAAGCTTTTTCATAATGTGGAGATTCTTGAGTTAAATGTGATTTTAACTCGTAATGCTATGTTCAGCATGTCTTCAAAATGGAGCAAGAGGAGTATACCAAAGAGGAGATCAACTGGAGCTACATTGAGTTTGTTGATAACCAAGATATGCTTGACTTGATTGAGAAGGTATGTAGAAAGCTAAATAGATTGTTTTAAAGTTGGTATGGGATCGGTTTTTCAACCTAGTATCTTTGGTAGTCGTGTTTATGTGAGATTTTAGACACTTTTAATGTTTGTGTCTCAGAATCTCACCATACACTGATACCTGCCAATCGGTATGGCATGATATTCTGAAGCCACTATATAAATATTAATAATAATTTAATATGTCAGTATCAACCATTAGGGTTGGTACACTGATCTGTATCTCTCATATCGGCTGCTACAGTGCAGTTGGTACACCTTGACAGTTGTGACCTTTTTTTTATATTAGCATGCTTCTTTTTCTTTTTCGAAAATGGAAGAAGATGGATTAAAATAGACGAGAGCTGATTAGAATGTCTGCCTTGGAGTAATTTTGTTGTGTCGAATACCATAACTTTAATTACAGAATGGTAGTTGAGTCTTGCTATATGCCTTGCCATGCCAAAACAAGGTAAAAATGTTACATGCAAGTGGCAGGGCGGAGTTGGATAAAAAAATTATTTTATTTTTTAAAATTCAAGATAAATAAGGCCTTGATTTAAAACTATCAAATTTTTTGAAATGGTGCAATTGAATGTTTTTTTTGTCTATTAATACCACAAGGAAGAGAAACAGATACCAAACTCCAAGATAATTGATGTTATAAAATTATAGATAATGTTTTGGAATCATACATCTTCATCAAATAATAAGTCAAGGGTGCTTGTATCATCTATCTTATCATATTTATCTTCCAATTTATATAGGTGATAATTGTTCTTAGTAATTCTCATGTGCTTGTGATTCTATCATAGTTCCTCGTGAATTTCTGGTGCACATAGACAGACATGGATTATCTGAAATGGTCCACATGGCGCTTCATACAAGGATGTGGAACTATAGTGTAAATGTGCACTAAGGTTGAACATCTATTGACAACCAGCTTGACATAACCTGACAACAAGCCATTTTGTATAAAGGATCATCCGATCATGTATTTTGTCTTTGACATCAAAATGTTTGATGCAATTAAACCAGTTCATGAATTTCAACCATAATCTAGAAACACCTTATTTTGCTTGCAATATAACTTCTTTAGTTTTAGTTAATGACTTTCTTTGTCAATTGCATGGTATTTAAAAAAATAAAATGAAGCTAACAAGGTTGAGGCATAAGCTATAACACAAAATATGTTTTTTTTTTTCTTCTGATTAGATCTTTTGTCTTAATTTTTGTTAGGGAAATTTTTGTGTACGTATTTTCTTTACAATCACACAAATATTTTCTTTTTTAAAAAAGGCAAGTTTTGGGTGTCAAAATCTTACCTTTCTGTGGTGACCAAGAAAACAAATCCCTACGGTAGCAGAAAACAGGTCAAGAGGGCTGACATTCTATATGGTAATAATGAACAGTCAAATCATCTTCATCATAGTTGGCAGCTGTCCTAATTCTTTTAAGTGGGATGGGCCAACAAATTCCTGATGGGTAGTTAAGTGTACTAGTTAATGTCATGACAAAGCTTTTAGAACATATCTGATTTGAGAAAATATAGCTAGTTTCAGAATTCAGATAATATTTACATGAATAATAAAAATGTAATATTGGGAAATTTTGTTTGCTGTCCTTGTGTGTCTCATTTGGATAGGAAAAAACAATAATGTTTTCAATACAGCAGGTGAGAACAAAGGAAGAGTGGCTATAAGCCATGCAAGCAGCAGGGAGAACAAAGTTTTCTGCTGAGATTCTGGCTGAGGATAACCAGTTAGTTGGGAGTATGAGGACAGTGGAAACTTCCTATTCAATTTGTGCATAAAAGTATTCAGATGGGAAGAGAGTAATATGAACTGTTACCAGGAATTGCTTCAGGTTGTACGGGATTCCATTTCAAATGCTGGAACTGTTAGGGGTATGAAGTTGGGTAATTAGGAGAGTTGTTAAATTTCATTAATTTGTTTTTTTAATGTTGATCTGGTAATAAAGTCTCACTCATTTACCCCCCAAAGGGAAAGGTAAATCGTTAATATCACTTTGCCATCTAAAAGTAAAATTACAAAAGTGTATTCATCTTATAGTCCTTCCTTTGGGACATTGGCAGTAGTTTTAGTACTCTTGACTCTTGACCATATATCAATTTATGTTATAAATCACCATGGTTCATTGATGGGTTAGAACACCAATTACTTGTCAATTCTACTTATTCGTAGATTGTGTCTATGACTGTCAATTTAAGGCACTATTGAAAATATGAATGTGCATACATAATTATATATTCACACACCAATACATTATCATGGTGCCTTTACCAATATCACCATGTACAGACTATGATGAGATGGATGTGCATCATTCTTGTGTTCACCAATGGGATCTTTGTACATTAAACTAATTTAATTTTTTTTAAAAATCATAGTTGCTTTCCCAATACTGCCATGTACAGACTATGATGAGGTAGATGTGCATCCTTTCTGGTGTTCACCAATTAGATTTTTGTACACAAAAACTGTTTTGAGTGGCTAGTGACTAGAGCTCTGTTGTCCGAGGGTAGTAATATATAATTGTTCTATTTTGCCAAAAGCATAGCCATATTGTACCATTTGGGGCTACTAATGGTTCATTTATTGCATCAAGATAATTGCTATTGCTATTTACAAAAGTCATCTCCATGATTTCCTTCAACAATCAATTGTAGGATTTTGGTAAATCACTAATATTGTGATTGTTAATTAATGAGGACTAATTAATTACTCTGATAATTGCTAGATTTACTGTGACATTATTTAATCTGACATGCATAAATATGTTAGGGCAGTGACAAATCTTTTGTTTCCATCTATTTGGGATCAGGAATATGGATCTTTCTTCATCATTAGCTCTGACAGGAGCAGCATCTTCATTTTCATTCTCATGGTTTTGGTATCCTTAAAATCTTCAATTTTGTGACCTGACTTTAATAATTTCCTATGTTCTAGGTCATTAACATGTGTGTATATATATATATGTGTGTGTGTGTATATGTATATGTAAGGTACAATTGGTGCATAGCCTTAATGATAAGTAAGGCCTGAGTTTCTTTTGCTTCTATATGGGCTGCTTTTGAATATTAAATTTCTAAAGCCACTCTAGTGACAAATTTATTTTTTCTTCCAGAAACCCGGTGGTATCATTGCTCTTCTTGATGAAGCTTGGTATGCATTTAGTGCTCCATTTATGTTACTTCATATTTATGTTTTCTACTTACCATGATGCTGTTATTTCAAAATAACAATTTAATGCTGTTTCTTTTGTATAAATATATTGAATGTCCTGTAATAATCACATCTCTGCATTTTGTGACCAATTCTAACTTGTTTTGAATGTTGTATTAAACAGTATGTTCCCTAAGTCAACACATGAAACATTTGCTCAAAAGTTGTATCAGACGTTTAAGAACAACAAGCGGTTTGTCAAACCAAAGCTTTCTCGTACAGATTTTACAATTTGCCATTATGCTGGCGAGGTAAGTATAAGCTTGGCAACATATGCTTATTCTGGTAATTGATCATATAAATTATTCAGGTAGTTGATTGACATGTCTTTACCTTCTCTGTAGGTGACATATCAAGCCAATCACTTCTTGGACAAAAACAAAGATTATGTGGTGGCAGAACATCAGGAGTTACTCAGTGCTTCTAAATGCTCCTTTGTGGCCAGTTTATTTCCTCCACTTCCTGTAGAAACAGCAAAGGCATCCAAGTTCTCTTCCATTGGGTCACGCTTTAAGGTAAAATTTCACTTGCTGTTACCTATATTGTGTGATTGCATGAAAGACTGAATCAGCTACAATTGCTAATTATGTGAATCAATTTTTAGCTACAACTTCAAGCTCTGATGGAGACCTTGAGCTCTACACAACCACATTACATTAGATGTGTGAAGCCAAATAATGTCCTTAAACCTGCTATCTTTGAGAACTCCAATGTCATCCAACAATTACGCTGTGGAGTAAGCTCCCAACTTAGTACAACCACAAAATATTCGTCGATACTTCTAAATCTTCTTTGAGATTGACATTTTCTGTAATGTTCTTGATATTGATTGCTTAATGGTGATAGGGTGTTCTTGAAGCAATCAGGATAAGTTGTGCTGGATATCCAACTCGGAGAACATTTTATGAATTTCTCCTCCGGTTTGGTCTGCTTGCACCAGAATTTTTGGAAGGAAAGTGAGTCTCTATTTAATTACAAGGGCTGTGCTTTCAAGCATCTAATACTCATATGTTTATCTGCTTACATTGATACAACTCTTCTGGATCTTTTTTTTCTTTTCTGAATAGCTATGATGATAAGATTGCCTGTCAAAAGATTCTGGATAAAATGGGATTGAAAGGTTACCAAGTAAGCCAGTTTTACCAAAATGCATTAGTTTGTCTTTTATATTTCTTGTAGAAGCAGCGTTTGATTTATTATTCATCTTTTGTGTGGTGAATAAGGTGAATGCTCATACCTACAGGCTACAGAGAAGGGAACAAGACAGCTAACTAGCTCGCTAACTTAGTGAAAGTTAGCAAGTTTGAAGTTTTTGGCAAGGGGTTGTTCCCCCTTCTTTTATGAATGTAACTTTGAGTGATTCTCCAGGACATGGTTATTTTCGTTCTATTAAGTAATATATAATCTTTTTTATTTTTGGCAAAAAAAGGTAAATGCTGGTCCCTACTGCAGAGTGTATCAGTTCACATTATATATGGTGGTATACCACTGAGAAAAGATGTATATTTTTTTAAGAAACTTTTATGTGTCTGTATACTTAGGTACAATTGGTGCATAGCACTGCATACCCATACTTGGTTGGAGTTGTATGTTCTGGTTGGTAAGGGCCAGTATTTAAAACCATAAATAAGACAATATAGGTAAACAATCTCTTTTAGGTGTAAAAACAGACTAGATAATGGGGAAAACATATTTGTATCCACTTTTAATTAGTCCATATGAAGGATATGGATATCATATTGATATGGAAAACACATTTGTCTCCACTTTTAATTAATCTATATGAATTTGGATATGATATTAGATTGATTCTAGATTCTCTATCCACATTTGTTTAATACTGATATTTGGATGTTGATTCAGATTGTATTTAAGGAGGATATCCTTGAGAGTACCAAAAGAATTGGATATATCACTAACAAATAATCAAGTCAATGTGTCAAACTGCTTGGATGAGAAAACTTTGTACTAAATGTTGAAAGAGAAGGAAGAACAAGAAAAAAAAAAGTATTATCCTAAAGTATTAATCAAATAAATCTCTTTCCTTATATTGGCCTATGAAAACTTAAAGACTCTAAGATGTACTTGTATATTCTGGATATTGGACAGAATTCAACCCATATCTGTATTGGTATTTGGGAAAACTCAGATACATTTTCATAGTATTGGACATGTATTTGGATGGATAGAATCTGATTAATTCACTCCTAATATCTTTACCAAATTGATGAGGCTTGAAATGTTTTTAGAAAGCAAACACTAATATATGCCATTATGATCCAAATTTGTCAGCAAAATAAATGTTGAGGGATGGAGAACAAAAAACTCACTTATGTAGATGCATATATTTTTGTGCATGTTCTCTCTCTCTCTCTCTCTCTCTCTCTCTCTCTCTCTCTCTCTCACTTACTCACAGGTGTGATCAGTTCATCCATGTAAAATTTTATTTTCACCTTCTGATCCATCCTAAAATGGGCATTATGGCCTTCCAAAATTGAGACCAATCATTTAGATTGACAAGGGAAAACTAGTGAGTTCATATTTTAATGAACACTCTTTTTAAAAAGTACTGATTGAAAAAGCCCTCTTTTTTTCCTTTGATATACCTTTATTTGAGAATACATGTCTTGAGTTGCAATTAACAATTTGCATTGGCAGCTAGGAAAGACCAAGGTGTTTCTGAGAGCTGGCCAGATGGCTGAACTGGATGCTCGAAGAGCAGAGATACTAGGACGAGCAGCCAGAACCATCCAGAGACAAATTCGTACATATATTGCTCGCAAAGAATTTCGTGTTCTACGACAAGCATCTATTCGATTGCAAGCTCTCTGGAGAGGTACAATTCTAATTTTGGTTTTGCATGAGTATTAGACTAATGTACGCGGAGAATACATATAGAGTAAATTTGGTTTTAAGTTATTAGTCTAAGCTCATGATTTCTTTTTATTAGATGTGTCATTAGCCAAGGATCCAAATTCCAACCAGCACATGGTCTCTTTCTAATTCATATTAGTGTTGGCTATTTTATTCCATGTAGCTGGCAACTTTTTTAACTGTTTCAGTTGGCAAAGGGAACTTGCCAGAAGTACCATGTTGGGCCATGTTGTGCGGACAACATATCCATCCCTCACAGATATTTAGAACATTGTCCTTAACCAAGGATTAAACTACAGGTCCAAACCGAATACTATTCTACTGTTGGACTAATATGATATAGGCATTAATTTGGCATGTCAGTATGCCATGCACCATTATTGAATCAATCTGGTATATATTGTGACGTAGTACTGATATTGTCTGGAAGTTTAATCCTTGGCCTCCACTTTGTAGATATGTGCTATAGATCTTTCTTTTTATCAGTTAAATGTTCTTTTATTTATTAAATGTAGGAAGATTGGCTTGTAAGTTGTTTGAGCACATGAGACGGGAGGCAGCAGCAGTCAAAATTCAAAAAAATTTGCATTGTTACTTTGCAAGAAAGTCATATGCCACACTTCAATGTGCTGCAATTACATTGCAGACAGGCTTAAGGGCAATGACTGCTTGTAATGAATTTCGATTCAAGAAACAAACTAAAGCAGCAGTTTGCATCCAGGTACATTTATTTTTCAGTATTGAAAACTTTTGTTCATCTTTAAATAGAAAGGACACTGTTGTTAGTTTGTTCTAACAAAGATTTATTCTCTACTCTGTTGTGCCTGAGTTGGGAATAAATTCTGTGTTTGAGTTGACTAACTCATGCATCTAGAAGGGTAGAACTTTATTTTGAGATTGTTTGTGTTTTGCAGGCTCAGTGGCGTTGTCATAGAGACTATTCATATTACAAGAAGTTGCAGATGGCAACCATTGCTTATCAATGTGCCTGGAGACAAAGACTGGCAAGAAGAGTACTCAGAAAGATGAAAATGGTTAATTTCTTACCTGTGTCTATATTCTGAAGTAATATTTCCTCTGATGGTGCCTGTAGATTATCAAGTTGTCATTTTTAAATTTGTACAGGCGGCAAGGGAGACAGGGGCTTTGAAAGAGGCAAAAGACAAGCTTGAGAAGCGGGTGGAGGAACTAACTTGGCGTTTGCAGCTGGAGAAACGTTTAAGAGTAATTGTTATTCTAAAAGTTAAATTCTTTGAGTTTCTAGTGTCATGCTGATGCTGTCTTTTATATTTGTGAATGTGGCTCGGATGTGTTCTGGATGCATTATAGTGCTGTTTAAAATACTAACTAATTGAGATAATGTTCACTTCTATCTGCAGACTGATCTGGAAGAGACAAAAGCTCAAGAAATTTCTAAACTACAAGATATATTGCATGAGATGCAGCTACAGGTAGAAGAAGCGAGGTCAACACTGATTAGGGAACGTGAAGCTGCACGAAAAGCTATTGAAGAAGCACCTCCAGTGATAAAGGAAACCCCTGTCTTTGTTCAGGACACAGAAAAAATTGATTCGTTGACAGCTGAAGTCGAAAATTTGAAGGTAGGATTATGAATCTAATTAATGTTTGTCTTCTACAAGATCTGTTTTTTCAGAAAGTGTCACAACCTTGTGCAAGATGAAGTATCAAATTTATTATAGTAAAAGCAAGAACTGTATCAAAACTTGCTAATAAAAATTTGTAATTGTATGTCCACGATCTGGTCTGATGGAGAAACTAACCCATTAATTGGATGAGTTTGAATCACACAACTCAAAATGCCTAAGCCCATTAACATGTTAATGGTAGTAAGTCCACCAAGTTCCATATATCATCATAATCAGCCTTACATGTGGGATTATATTGAGTGTCACAATATAGGTAAAGAAAGGTTGATCAATATTAGAAATTTTCTTGTAGTTACTTGATTTTTTTTTTGTCATATAACTATTGCAGAAAAGTTCTTGCTAGCTATTTAAGATGATTGTTAAATACTCAAAACAACATTCTGGATTATTTTATAATGTTGTTTATTCTATTCCCTTGTTATCATGACAGGCTTTGTTGCTAACAGAAAAGAAGGCAACTGATGCAGCCAATAAAGCAAATGCTGAAGCACAAGAAAGAAATAACAAACTAGTTAAGAACGTTGAAGATTCTGAGACAAAAATTGATCAGCTTCAAGATAGTATTCAGAGGTGTTACTTCTGCTTTAATTTGAAGTTTTTCCCTTGTTTTCACCCTGCAATGTGGCCGACATGTTAGATAAATGATCATAGAACATGCAGAAAACATTGCTTTTTATTATTCTGGAAGGCACTAAAATGTCCGACTTATATAACCCTCATCCAAGTCTTCTCTTTTGAACTGAGGTAGTATCTCACATTTTATGTGCCAAAACAGGCTTGAAGAGAACGTATCAAATCTGGAATCAGAGAACCAAGTACTTCGTCAACAGGCAGTTGCCATCTCACCGACAAGCAGAGCATTAGAAATGCGTTCAAAAACAACTATCATCCCGGTACCTATTATTATTTAATTGGTGTTCATTATGTAAATTCTTGCTCATATCCATTTTTTATACTTTTGGCACAGAGAACACCAGAGAATGGAAATGTTCTAAATGGAGAGACTAAACTTGCATTGGTAAGTGACAATTTGTGTTCTATGAATTTGACAACTAGAGTTATGGGTAAATTTTCTCGCAAAGAATTTAAGGAATTAACAATGGCTGGTTTTCTTTGGCTGATGAGAACAAATAGGACTTGAGTCCTGCCTTACAAAATCCCAAGGATCTTGAAGTCGAGGAAAAACCACAGAAGTCACTCAATGAGAAGCAGCAGGTATGGTTTTCAAATGATTAGTTAGCAAGTGCATTCATAAAAGATGATCTAGCATTTGTTGCTATTAGCATCACGACGATATCCCTGTTATCTTATTTGGAAACTCAGTTGCCACAATATTTTCCTGCAGGAATACCAGGACTTGCTTATTAAATGCGTCTCTGAAGAGTTAGGATTCTCTAAGGGTAGACCTGTTGCTGCTTGCCTCATATATAAATGCCTCCTTCAATGGAGATCTTTTGAAGTTGAAAGGACTAGTATCTTTGACCGCATCATTCAATCCATAGGCTCAGCCATTGAGGTAAAAGGTTGTCTGTTTTATGTGCAATGAGTTACATTTTGTTACATTGTTATATTGTGGAGAGGAAAACTAAGTGCATGAGAAAGTTCACATAAAGCTTGTGACAATTGTGTGCAGCTTTGCACTTTGTACGTTTTTGGTGGACACCTCCTTTTTCCTGGGCCATACTAGACAAGCATCTCATGATTTCTTATCATTGCTATTTATTTCTCTTACCAAGTATTGCTGTTTTTGACTGAAGTCTCAGGATAACACTGATGTATTATCCTACTGGTTGTCCAACACATCCACACTGTTGTTGCTCCTCCAACGAACACTAAAGGCAAGCGGGGCAGGCAGTTTTACTCCACAGAGGCGAAGAACATCAGCTTCTTTATTTGGGAGGATGCCTCAAGTAAAACTGCAACACCTTTGTAGTTTCATAGTGACAAGTTGCCATAAAAAACTCTTATGATCTTCGTTTGGTCTCTCTGTATAGCTTATTTGTTTTACTTAACTATTTCAAGGGGATTCGCGCTTCACCGCAGAGTGCTGGGCTTCCTTTTTTCAATAATCGCTTGGTTGGTGGATTAAGTGACTTGCGGCAAGTTGAAGCTAAATATCCAGCTTTGCTTTTCAAGCAACAACTTACTGCATTCCTTGAGAAAATTTATGGAATGATAAGAGACAATTTAAAGAAAGAGATATCTCCACTTCTTGGTTTGTGCATCCAGGTACTGTTAGCAGTTCATGTGAGCACTCCTAAAGTATTTCAAGACATGCAATGATTGCTGTTCTTTTATATTCCACATGATTTGATTATTTTTGTTCTTATACAAATTTCTATTTTAGAGTTTTGTCAATGATGCAAAATATGCAGGCCCCGAGAACATCCCGTGCAAGCTTAGTAAAAGGAACACGTTCTCAGGCAAATGCCATGGCCCAACAAGCTCTGATTGCACACTGGCAAAGCATTGTGAAAATCTTAACCAGCTACTTAAAAACACTGAAGGCTAATTATGTAATGTTTATTAGTGGTGGTTGACATATAGAAAATTCTCTTTTAGCATGTGTTTAAGTCTAAGACCCTTAACATTTTTTTTCTTTTTAGGTCCCATCTTTCCTAGTTCGCAAGGTGTTCACCCAAACATTTTCATTTATCAATGTTCAACTATTTAACAGGTACATACTGAATTCCACTATAAAATTTCATGCTGCTATCCTCTGTCATCATATTTCCACTGCAGAAAGGAATATGAGTAATTTTCCTTTTTGTAGCCTTCTTCTGAGGCGCGAGTGCTGTTCATTTAGCAATGGGGAATATGTCAAAGCAGGACTGGCTGAATTAGAACGTTGGTGTTATGGTGCAACCGAAGAGGTGACCATCTTTCATATAAGAGATAATATTCCTGAATCCTGATGCCTTTCAGCTAAAATATCCTTTTACATGCAGTATGCAGGTTCTGCCTGGGATGAGTTGAAGCATATCAGGCAGGCTGTTGGGTTCCTAGTACGTTGTTAACAAGCAGCATTATAACATTCAACAATGTCTTTAATATTCAAATAACTTTTCTTCAAGAGTTCATCTTACAAAAAATCTAACAACTCAGGTTTTACATCAGAAGCCAAAGAAGACGTTGAAGGAGATAACTCATGACCTATGCCCAGTTGGGACCAATACTCGTGAAACTGTATTTATTTATATTTCGTTTCCATACTTGTACTGACTTTCTTATTCGATTTTCAGGTTCTTAGCATACAGCAATTATACAGGATCAGTACGATGTACTGGGACGACAAATATGGTACACACAGTGTTTCATCAGAGGTATCCTTGGTTACACTTGACTTTTTCAAATATCTTAAATTCTTTCAGAAAGTTCAATTTTTTATTCATCAAGCATGGCGGTTAAGTCATGCATATTTACATTTATGAGATTCTATCCTGAGCAAAGTGAGAGAACCATTCAATACGGTGTAAACGTGCCCACAGGAGATGTATATTTGCACTTGTTAACAAAGACAGGTCAACTTGGATTAGTGGTGCCAGCAAAGGTGCAGGAAAGCCTAAATGTATTTTGGTGGCTCTTGTTGTGGGCAGTGAGAATGCCCTTCAGAGCTCAATGGTGGGCAAAGATGCATTACAGTAAAATGTGTCTGTCTGAGGGAAAAAAAAGAAAAATCATTGGCATCCCACCCATCTTCTGCTAATGAAGGGCCCATTTATATCTAATGAGAAATTGATAATCATTCAATCTAATGAAAGTCTCAGTCTTTTTGTATACGATAAATATATAGGTTTACCTCTTGTTTTATAGGTTATTTTGAGTATGAGAGTGATGATGACCGAGGACTCGAACAGTGCTGCCGGTAGTTCGTTCTTGTTGGATGATGATTCCAGGTAAGTTGAAGTGAAAGATTTTCTGGGTGCCAGGTTTTAAAAGTCATGAACTGGATTTATGTTCTCATTTTCTGTTGCAGCATCCCGTTTACGGTGGATGACATCTCCAAGTCAATGACAGAGATAGATATAGCAGATGTTGATCCGCCTGCTTTGATTCGTCAGAACTCAGGCTTTGCATTTTTGGCACAGAGAAAGGAGTAGTTGTCCTCCAATGCTGCAGCTAATTTGAGGTTCCTGTGCATAAAGTTCAGCCTCTTCATAGTCAATGTGAATATGAAATCATTGGAGGCCCATCAGATCAGCTGGTGAAACAGAGTGGTAGGCAGAAAGTAATATTTGGCTATGATTTGTTGTTTTTTTAATTATTTTATGTACATGTGTGAGGTGTAGTTTTGAAGATAAACCCTTTTACTGCGACTCTGGGCTGCTGCTATTGAGGGGGGGATGCACAGGGTCTGTTTCTCATTCCACAGGTTCTATATCTATGAGTTGGCCTTTGTCCAAATGATATGTAAACTATAGCCGTAGCTATGTGTCTCCAAAATATTTCCTACCAAAGTTGTTTATGAAGGGAATCGTTATCAACAGCTCTGCTCTGCCAAAAATCTACTTAATATTCATTTCCTATGTTGCTTGTGCATGAAACATGTCATTACGTGTCTGAGAATACAAAAGTACGTTTCCCATTAACTCTACGCATGTGATGTCATGTATTAAACTATTCATCAATGATCAAATCTCCTTCGTTTTGATGTTCGTTCAGAATCCATATTTCCAAACAACAAGCGCTAAATCTCGATGAAATGTACTATCAGTTTAAAGAATTGACAAGTGTTATTGGGCGAACAACTCCGACCCAAACATTTATCTCTGGAAAACACAATTTTAACTCAATGAATAATAATAATAATGATGCTAAAACGAGGGATATACCAAAATCTTTTACCTCCTATGCAGCTGCACAAACGCACAACAACAGATTTGGAAGACCATCATCGTAGGGGCAAAAGCAACAAGAATAAATGATCCTTCAAAACAAAACAGTGATCAGAAACCTCCATCGAGTTACCTCCAGTTTCACCAAGGCTGACCAGTAATATCCTGCCCCCACCACTGTATTGCTCGATTCTTTCCCTTTCATCAAACCAGATCTCGCCAGTTCTGCTGGCCAATGAGGCTGCAGATTTCACTCGTCTAGGTCTCAGGACAAAAAATCACGCCCTTCACTAATCAGGGTATCTTGAAAATTGACTTCAGCCTCACGACGAGTCTCCACTCTTCGATTGACAAATCATCCTGCGGCATCAAATTCGGTGAATTAGATATAATATATAAGAATATTACTCTTGGGTGTGATTTTCCTAGGAATCCATTGCTTACAACAAAGAACTCAAGCTGTACCAACACAAAGTAAACCCTACGCACCACATGATCATCAACTAAAACTTGTAGGACGACAACCCCTCCTTTCACCAATTACAGGTGAAAAGAAGAGTCATGAACTAGCATATAACAATCGAATTAAGTAATTCTTACCCTATAGTTTGATTTCAGTATGTCGATTGATCTCCTCGAGATATGACTGACAAGCTCATCGTCAATATCAAAATGCCTGCCATACATCTTCTGTTGTTCTTCGGGACTGCTGGCAACTATCTGTAAGAACAGAAAAGAGTTGATGAGGCTCCAAGAGATCTGTCGGAGAAGTAAAAAGGGAAAAAAAGCAAATTTGAAATATGAAATATCAGCGGCACCTTTATAGCCACCTTCTGTCCTTTAGTGGCAACGTCAACTTGCTTATGATTGATCTCAATTGATGCAATTTTCCCTATATCTATGAATTCTCTTGAAGGTATACAAATAGGAGTACCAACCTGAAATAGCGTACAGCTATAAGCAAACGAGATATCACACTTTTACACAGAAAAAGCACTTTCAAGCTACACGAAAGGGTAAAGGTCATGTTAATTAATCTCAAATTCGGAATTAGTCTGTTTAAAAAGCTCAATATATAAATGCCGAAGACATTTGATAAATATATTCTAATAACACTTCAATTGCGGAAACAGATATGCTTCCAACATTTAGAAAAGAAACCATTAACTTTAATTGCATGACCAGCCTGTGGTCCCTGCAAGTTCCATGACCAACTGCTTCCAAGTGGTAAGTTACCACCAGCAAACATATTGTTGTCAATGAAACACAAAATGAATGCAGTAGTTTTAATTGTTGCTTCATAAAAACACTGATAACAAAAATGATGTCAAACAGGGCCTTTAATTATTGAGGCCAGAATCAAAGAATCAAGATTTACTTCACTTATCGCAAAGACTACAACTAACTTCCCTTCAGAATAAAGATACACATATTAGTTCGAAAAAATTGCTTAGTTGTATTTATAGAAAGACCAAAACAAAAATAACACCAAACAGGGAGCTCCTGATTTCTTAGGCCAAAGATCAAGACAAACTTATTTCACTTGTACTAACAATTGCTTAGATGACGTCTCTTTGGAAATGAAATTGCAGATATCAGTTGAGAAATTACTTCTGATGGCATTAACTTTGAACAGGTTGAAAAAGGATAGCTTATTAAATTACCTTCAAAATGCCTTCAAGAATATCCACACCCAGGACAATTGGGTCCTTCTTGTTGAATATGCAGTTTGGCATAATCTTCAGAACACTAGGGAAAACTGCCTCTTCAGCACTTTCCTTCTTCTTCTCTTCCTTTAGATTGTCAATGTAAGCCTTGAACTGATCAAACAGATGATATATTATGTCTGCGACAAAGATTCTAACACCGGTCTCATCTGCAAGTTCTCGAGCATCAGGCATCACTTTGACATCAAATGCTAGGATGGTTGCATACTCTTTCTTCCTCTCAAGCATGACACTGGCTTTCATTACATCCTTCTTGTGTACTGGACCTATACTAAAATCACAAAATGGAATGTTCACAGCTGGGCTTCTCAAGAACTCTGTAAGTGCTTCCAATGACCCAAGAGTTGAGGCCTGCACGTAAACACCTTCCCCACTCTTGTCAATTCGGCTCATGACCTTTTCCACATCCTGCATTACAGTTCTCTTCAAATCTTCCAAATCATCCTCAGGTTTTACCACATAAAGGGAAGTGCCAGCAATGGCATGCTCAAGGCCCTGAGAGAGAATGGATTACTCAAATGAAGTTGCTGAAATAAAAGAAATGCAGATCTGTGCTACAATCCAACTATACCTGTGCAGAAATTTTTACACCTTGGGCAGCTTTAAGCTCTTTATGATGTAAGTATGAGCCCTGAGAAAGATACACCATTGACATGCCAATCAACGCAAATATGTCATCAGGGAGCAGCTAGTCTCAAGATCAATTTAATATAACTTAAATCATATAAAGAATGCAATGAACCGTTGCTTTATATAACTTAGCCATAAAACAAAGCCAATGCACTTAGTGTAATACTTGACCGCTCTAACTAATAAAACATAATAATTACAAATAATTCATCAATTGTGACAGTAATTCCATCAGTATGTACGATATGGAAATAAATTGGGAAAAATGAATAAATGAGAAACTTATGCTCATTTCATTATCCCTTTCAATTACTTCTGTTTCTGTTGTTCTATCTTGAAACAGAGTACTTGAAATGAATTAATCAATCATGGAAAATTCTTGTTACTTAGTAAATAGAATCATAATTTCAATCAGAATCACAAGCACCAACCAAAAACCCAACTTAGTTTTCTTCTGTTTCATGCTCTTCAATCTTAGAAAAGGGTACTTGAAAAAAAAACAGATTGATTATCCTTTATATTACCTTATTATGTTCATTACTGATCCTTTGGTGACTTTATTGCCTCCATTCTTCTGTTAAACTTTTGATTGCACTAAAACATAATGATACATACAAAATAACAACACACTCCACAAAATTGATCTTTGTCACATGCTCCGCATAATGATGACAAAAAATTCTTCCAACTCTAAGGAATATAATTTGCTACTTGCTAATACCTCCATAACATCCTTGAAGTGATTTGAGAGAAACTGAAAAAAGGGAAGGCGGCATTCAAACAAACATAGGAAGATCAGCTCCCAAACATAATTTTGAACAAGGAAACTTTGAAATGGCAAATGAACGGAGCTTAGTACCTATCCTAGGCATTAATTTTTTAAAGTCTTGACAGAAATTAAAATTTATTTTTATCTATACGGGAGATTATTTTTCTGCACCTATCATGTAAACTATTTGCTGGATGGATGGCAGCACCATCATGTGCCAATCACGAATATTCTTAGAGAAGGTTAATGAAAAATATTTAACTGAAAAAGGAGAAATGCTGTACTCTAGCTTCACATAAAAATGTCACAAGTTGCAAAAGGCATGGGGACATTTGGACAAGGATAGAGGTACCAAACAAACCTACCAAATAAGAATAATAGGAGCATTGTTGTCAAAGGAGACTGAAAAGGAGAGAACAGATACACACACACACAAAGAAAGTAAAATACAGCTAGCCTTTAAAAGCATCTCTAAATGATTGATGTTACTTGTAGCACCTTGACAAGATTTGTATCCTCCAATTTGTACTACATGACGATGAAATACCTACCATACTTTCACTGTTTCACATAGAATCTGCTTTACAGATAATCCTAACATCTTCTGAGATTATGTAATATAGCCAAGGAAAAAGGAAGATATTCATATTAGGAAAACTACTCAAAGATTTCATCTGTATGTTAAGGGTCAAAATTTATCAAAAAAAAAAAAACAGACTAGTGCAAAGAAATTAGCCCAAAAATTATAGTCTTTTATTTCCTATAAAGCTAACCCAAATAAATTTGGCAGTGATAACTATGCATCAATAAGGTACCACCCAGTAGAAAAAAGTTACTACCTAGTTAAAAAAAGAAACTACCTACCTAGTATCCACTAGGTTACAAAGCTTAATTTAGATCTACAATCATGAGAGGTGTTGAATGCTGACAATTAATTATTAATTTAGATCTATTTATCATGAAACTTAATTTTCTTAAATTGGTTATAGAAACATCGTCATTTACATTAGACTCTTAGCTAGACCATTTAGCAAGTCTAATACACATATAGAGCAATTTCCGAGAATACTACACCTGAACATGGAAAGAAGATCCAAATCTAAAGTCCTGGCTGTAAAACTTTTGATACATAAGAGAGTTCAACCAAATGGTGCTATAGAGTACAGCATCTTCTGACTTGCAATTGCAAAACCAGAAGTGGCACTCACATTATTCCAAAGAAACACACGGAAATAAAATAGATGATAAGCTCAAAGAAACAGAGTATTAAACTCTCCATCAAAGATCCTTTAAGCCAAGACTCTAAATTATAGAAGGATGCAATAATCAAGTGGCATACTCACCTTTACTCGGAGCTCCTTCATAGGGTGGGGAGTCAATAAAGCTCTGATATTGGTCACAATGGGCCCCTAAATAGAAACTTCGCTACAATTAGAAACAAATACATAAAAGGAAAAGCCAAAGTACAGATAAGAGATTAAACATCTATACCTGCATGCCGCAAACAACTATTTGGTCACCCTCATGAAGGACACCATTCACCAGTACGACATCAATGGTAGTTCCTAAACCTTCAATCACTTTAACTTCCAACACAGTACACTGAAATACATATTGAGTACAAGGATAAGACAATCAAACTTTTTCATATCTTATATGAACTAGAAGTACTAAGACTATCTACTCACATAGAAATGGAATGCTTTATAGAACAAAGGCAAATGAATAGCATAATAAAATATGTGAAATGCAAATGTTAGATTTATACAGCTAGAAGATATAATACTGGTTACAGTGAGTGCACCTGCATCAAGGATATATTAAATCACAACTCTGAACCAATTCGAAGGCAGGGCAGAATAAGCACTCAGAAACAAACCTGGACTTCATCGATATAGGTAAGCTTTTCTTCCATTGTTTTCTGAGCCCATTGTACCAACAATAAGAGAAGATCTGGTATTCCTTCGCCACTAATAATATATATACAAATATCACAAAATTTGCCATTAAAATTCCACCAAACATGCATATAAAAGCTTCCTAATACAATGTAGATATTACCTGATAGCACTTGTGGGAACAATATTAAATGTTTCTCCCATTTCTTTGTTTTTGTAGTACAGAGCTGTGTTCAAACCCTGCTCTTTGAACTGTGTTATGATCTGTTAAAAAGGATGTAGGGAAAAGAAAAGACTTGAGTCTTCAAACTAAATTTTAATGATAATACATCCCATGACAATTCCAAATGCATTAACCTGAGTAAGTCTCATATTAAACTCGTTCTTCACATCATTAGATTGTTGTTTGAGTGTCTTCACTATGGGTGCATTTGGACTGGATTTCCAACCATAGAGTCGATCCACCTTGATAATTGGAACATCATGTTTATAAATAAATCACAAAAAACATATCTATTAGCGCAGAAAAAGGAATCCAATATGTAATGTGATCATCTACCTTATTCAATGCAACAATGAACTCTGCGTTCCTATTTTTTAAAAGGTTGAGAGATTCAATAGTTTGTTGCTCAAGTCCATGCATGATGTCCACGACCAGTATAGCGATGTCACAAAGGCTTGAACCTCTAGACCGTAGATTGGTGAAAGACTCGTGCCCGGGGGTATCAATTACAAGTAAACCTGGAACCTTCAGTGTTGCATCAGCTTTTAGCTCTCTTGTTCTCTCCCTTATGTTTTCAGTTGGAAAATAGGTAGCCCCAATCTGCTGGGTAATACCGCCAGCTTCTCCCTCCTGTACATTAGTGCGTCGAATGCAATCTAGCAATTTAGTCTTTCCAGTATCCACATGACCAAGAATGCAACAAATTGGTGAGCGGAGATCAGGACCACTCTTTTTTGATTTGTCCTCCACAGCAGTTGCCTCTTCTTTAATAATAGCTGCTTTTCCCCTCCTCATATTTGTGACAGGTTCGCTTTCATGTTCAACCTCTTTGTTATCTGCGTTCGAAGATGTTCGAGGAGCCACGACCTTTTTGACAGCAGGATTTGCAGGTGCTGAAGAATTCACTTGAGGTTCCACGGGAGCAGATACTGAACGTTCGGTAGTTCTTTTGACCACAGGTTTTGCCTTGATGTCCTGATCCTCCTCAGCAAATGGGCTTGTAGCAGGCAATGCCACATCAAGATCATCCCAGCTCTTCGCATCCCATTCTTCATCATCTTCATCCTCATCCATGGCTTTGACATCTTTTAATTCCTGATTTACTTCAGCATTGTCTTCGTCATCTCCAATCTGAGAATGGGATTCCTCTTCAACTGTAACATCTTCCCCAGCTTGCTCAGTACCAGGTTCATCAACAGCTTGCTCATTCTCTGGCACCTTCTCCGTTTCTACAACCTTAGATTGAGCTGGCTTAGACTTCCTTGCCTCATACTTGGGCCTCTTCTTTATCTCCTTACCAGCATCACCTACTGGAACCTCACTCTGAGCAAGAAATTGTTTTCTCATTGCTTCTAACCTCCTCTGCTCATCCTTTTGTTTAGCCGTTAAAAGTTTACCCTCCTGTTTTTTCTTCAGCAGCTTCTCCTTTTCTCTTTCCTTCTTTCTCCTCTTTGCCTCCTCCGCAAGCCTCTCCAGCTCCTCCAACCGCTTCCTCTCTTCCTCTTCCTTCCTCAGCCTCTCCTCCTCTTCCCTTTTCTTCCTCTCTTCTGCCTCTTTCCTCCTCGCCAGTGCCTCCTGCATCTCTCTCACATGCTTAGGCAACTTCTTGTCTGGAATTTTACCCTTTACATCCTCCTTCTTCTCTTGCTTAATCTCAACAACAGCTGGAGCAGCTGCAGCCGCAGCAGCTGCAGCCTTCTTCTCTTTCTCCTTCTCTTTCTTCTTTTTCTTCTTCTTGGCAGCTGCTGATTCACCCTCTGCGTCCCCATCCTTACCCTCTGCCCCTGGCTGTTCCCCTGGGAGTGGAGCTGATTGCTCCACAACCGCAGCAGGCTGCAATGGAGCTGCAGCAGTTTCTACAGGAGGTGACGGGCCCTCCCCAAGGTCCGCAAGAATCTTATCCAAATCTTCCTCCTCCTGGGCAGTTCTTCCACTCTTCTTCTTCTTTTTCTTCTGCTGCTTCTTTGAGGCAGCTTCCTCGGTGCCATTTGCTTGCCTGTTTGGTTCCAAATCGGTGTCCTTGATCTCATCTGCCTCGGCTTCTTCTTCTACTGGTGTAGGAGGAGGCAACGCCTGGGCCGAAGCCAGTGCGGGGGCTTCCCCGATCTCAGCGAGGAGCTTATCCAAGTCCTCCTCCTCCTGCGTCGTTCGCCCGCCTTTCTTCTTCTTCTTTTTCTGTTGCTTTCTTGAATCCGTATCCCCATTTAGACCCCTACTTTCATCAAACTCATCCTCCACATGGTTATCCATTTCAGGTTTCACCTCAGATCTCGGTTTTGGCTCGGGCTCCTCGTCATCGACGTCGTCCCCAAAGGTATTAAGAGCCGCGTACCCACTCTTACCAGCGTTACTCTTTTTAGATTTAGAGGATTTCTTCTTACCGGAGAAGACGAGAGGCACGGCATCATCGTTATCCTCCTGCGAAGGATCGGCTGCGCCGGCGGACGAGGGCTTCTCCGGATCCTCGACCGGGGGCTCATTATCGGCGACGGCGGCGGCGCTGCGCTGGTTCTTGTCGCCCTTCTTGCTCTTCTTGGAGCTGGAGGCGGCGCGTGTCTCCATCTCTGGTTCCTGCGTAGTCGTCGGCGGCTGCTGCGGATCCTCCGGGAAGGAGTACTCATCGTCGTCGATGGTGACCGTCTTCTTCCGACCCATCGCTGCGCAATCAAACCCAACAGTTTTGGAGAAGAGTCACCAGAAGGGATCCGCGCCAACCCCAAGAATCATACGAAGTCGCCGACGATCATCGAAGCCATGAGCGAATCAAGAAATGGGAAGGGCTCAGGAACCCTAGGAGGAGATGGATCGGCCGAAGGTAACGATTAATTAATTATTTAAATATATATATACACCGGAAGAAGACGCACTTGATCGACGTCTTCCAGATGCGTGCATCATCTGTGGACGGCGAGATTTCCATCACCCATTCACGGGATGGCGTTTCTTTTCTTACCAATTTAATGAGTATTTACTCGAAACTGACCTCTCTCCGATAGAGCCACAGACACATCCCGGTGTACGCACGAATCTCGAGCACGATGGACGCGAATCACGCGTCACATTCGATGCACTCTACGTCAGGGGATGCTGATCCGTCTGACACTGCTATTTCGACCCGACCAGAGTCCAGCACTCCCAAACCCCGAGGCGAGCAGGCCGCCCGTCAATGATGGGCCCCATTTATGTGATTGGACAAGTGTGGAAGAGGTGTTGGCTTCCCGACAGTGAATCCTGACCCGTCTTTATCCGGTGCACGAAACTATCCAAATTCCGGTTTGGGTATCGATCAGCTGTTTAATACCGGTACGCGCACAAACCGTCTATTCTTATCGGGCGTTATAAACACAGTTACACATAATATATCTCCGTTCCACAAATTTCGCCTTATATCTCAGGTTTTAAGTGAATAATTACTCCGAGCTGATGCCAACGTCTTTTCCCGAAGAGAAGCTTAAAGTATGTAGGCAAAGAGCTTATAACCCATCATAAAAGCTGAAGGGGGAGAATTATTGAGTCTCGTGCGTGTGCAGTGAGAAACAGAGAGAAAAAGTAAGGTTTTTTAAGATTTCTACTTACGATCGGTGGCTAAAGGTTATCAGTTTTGATCCAAATTTTATACAAAGAATCATTACAGTAAACTCTACAATCCTAACGGTATTGATCTATATTTTACCTTCTCTGAGGTACTTTTCTGCTATACCCATTTTGTGAGACCTAAAATTCTTTTTGAGGTGATCTGAATATATGCTATTCTTAAGTCAAGATCTATGTTCTTGATGTTATTATGATCCTCTAATTATTCTAGAGAAGATCCATGTTATTATTATTATTGATAGTGAAAGTTTGAGGACTATGTGATTGATTTTTTGTTCTATTGTTTATACTATGCTGATTAATATTTTCATTTAGATATCACGTGGATATAGAAAAAAGAATATTTCGTTTTAACATATTTTTTTTCCGAACATCTCTCTTTGTACGTGTATCTCTCACATTCTCTCTCATTTGACCATTTGCGTTTCAGTTTCTTCTTTAAACTACGTGGCTATCTCATTCCTGGGCAGGTCAACTCGGTTGGTCGTATTTAAATAGGGGAAGGGGAGACTCGGTTGGTCATAATTAAATGGGGGCAGGGGAGAGGAGTTCTCTTCAGGAATCCTCCTCGAGGAAGAGACACAGAGGAAGAAGGGAGCAGAACACAAGGTGTGGAGCCACAAGAAAGCTAAGAGCAAAGCCGACCGGCCTCCCTTCCTCTTCCCTCTCTTCCCTGCTTCTTCTCCCTTGTATCTATGTTTCGTTACTGGTTAGTCGACGACGGGATAACCATAGTAGCCATCGAAGACGGGATGAAGCCGCTGTTGGAGAGAGGAAGGGATGATAATGATAAAGCTGTGCTCCTGGGTCTCGGGGTCACTCTCGCTGTCCCACTCGCCGGCTACCTCGTCTTTTGCTTCACTCGCCGGAATTCTATCTCTACATGTTTGCCGTTCTTTCTCCTTGTGGTTCTAGTGTTCTTCATCTATCAGCAACCTCTGTTCTGACACTATTGTCTCCTCGTACTTTTCTTGTTTCAGTGGCAGGCTATGGATCAAGAACTGGATCTAAAACTGCAGTTGTTTCTACCATCATATCTGGCAGGGGACTCGATGATGAGCTCTGCCTATTACAGCAGGAGCAGGTAAGATACAAATCAGATTCTGAACTACTTCTCCATGAATTTGGCGAACCTAATAAGATGTGGTGTTTTTTGGTATGTGAAGGAAGGAAAAGCCCTCGCAAATGTCATCCACAGCATTTCCAGAAATCTCTGCACCACGACAACGTCCGCTGTCACCTCCGATGTGATCACCGAGCAGTCTTCAGGCGTCAAGAGTCTGGAAGATGGAGATGTGACTAGTTCACAGGAGATCGATCAGCCATCGGTTCCGGAACTGGAGGAAGAGTTTGTGCATCTTACTAACTTGGTACGGCGTCTTTGGAAGAAGGAGAGGAACAATGAGATCCAATTGCTCGAGTACCGTGGACTAGAGGAGCGAGAAACCACCGTTGGAGAGCTCAAAAACTGGTTGCAGATATGCTCGACGGCAGCTAAGTCTTTATCTGTGAAGCTCGAGTTCTTGCAGCTCGAGAGCCAGAGGCTCAAAGTTGTGGCATCACCGAGCTCGGGAACCATGCGAGAGCTTCGATCTGCCAAGCTGAAGATTAAACATCTCAAGAAGAGATTGCGATCTTGCCGGGCGCAGGCGGGGAAGCAGATGAATTCCCTCCAACACAGGATCGCCATGCTGCAAAATAAGGTGGACCAAGATGAGCAAATCGATGCTGATGTCCAGATCAAACTGCAGAGGCTGGAGGATTTAGAAGACGAGGCTGAATCTGCACCAGTCTCTCAGGTATGCCACATAAAACTCAACATCTATACACATCAACCACTGAGAAATCTGTAGCTCATTCTTCACTTGCTGTCACGCAGGCAGAAGGCTTCGAGGAAGTCAAAATCTTGAGAGAATCAAAACACAAGCTGGAGAAGAGAATAGAGCAGCTTCAGACAGATCACCATGCGGAAGTGGAGGAACTGGTGCTTCTCAGGTGGCTCAACTCCAGACTAATCTATGAGCTAGCTTATAATCAACTCCCTCCAGGGAAGCCGGCGGAGAAAGATCCAAGAAATTGTCGGCGTCCAAAACATGATGCAGAAGACAGACGTTCTTCGACATCCGATGTCATTCTCTCCTCCTGTAAACCAAAATTATTCCTTGGCAAGCTTAAGAAGCTGGTGAGGAGACGAAGCAGCCAGAGCAACAGTGACATTTCCGAAAGCTGCATCACCTTTGAGACAAGGGCAGCTGCTTCAACATGTTCTGGCGATCCCACTTCTTCTTGCTTAGCCAATCATTTGACGCTGACAAGAGCTAAACCAGATGACACTGAGAGATGGCAGAACAACTCTGCATGAATGTCTCTATTATTTCAGAAGAACATTCTTAGTTTATTCGAACATGGAGACTTGGTGTTCATCAGAAGATTCAGCTGTCATTACAATCCAAGTAGCTGTAGGATATAGTAACAGTGTACTATAATTATATAGATGTAAGGATAAGATTAAAATAAGACAAATAAAAAGCAAAAACTGTGCCTCATTTATGGTTGATGTTAATGCTTTCTTGTTGCCAGCTCTCAGACAAGTTCTTGGTGTTTGTTACCTTTGTGTGTTCTTGAGGACGATTGCAGTTGTGAACAGATAGTGACACATGAAGAGCCGACGGACATCCAATTCATCAGTCAACCATATACCCTATCAAAATGATCATTTTTTGACCTGGTTTGGTTGCCTTCCATCAGTTTTATATGTTGTTTTGGTAGATTTCAGGTATTCTTTAATGCGTTATTGGCACATTCTTCACTCCTTTCCCCGTTGAAAAGAAAGGAAAGTTCTTTATTTTGTTTCCTTTTCTTAAAGAATTGGAAAGGATAGGAAAGTGTAACGGAAGGGAGAATTGTTCTCCTCGACGTCATGGCAAGAAGAAGAAGAAGAAGTAATGGAAGGGGGAGATTGATCTTACGTAGTTAAAAGCGAATTCTCCCTCGCCTTCGATCCTTGCATGGTTACAGGAGTTGTCGGAGAGGTTACTGATGAAAGGCTTGAATGGTTACAGGCTTGGTTTTGCGGTATCGGTTCCCCTTGCCGGTTACTTCATTGCGAATCCGAGACCAGCGGCCTCCGCCTCTTCAGGTCTCTGATCTCACCACCCCCATCCGATCCTTTTGCATTTCTACTCCCGAGTGCCCCCAAGAACCAATCCATTTTATGATGATTTCTTTTTCTTTCGATCCGTTGACAGCGGGCGCCGAGTCACGAGTTGCTGTTGGCAGATCGGATGTTCCTGTATCCTCTGGAGGTGCCAGAAACCTAAAAGATGAGATCCACATCCAAGAAATTGTATGTAATTGAAATTAGGGTTTTTCCCCCTTTTGAGATATTAATCCTGGAAATTAGGTTCTCTCCCAAGAATTAGATGATTCTTGCTCATATCATAAGAAAAAAATGTTTCTTTGAAGATGTTATTGATGAGAAATTTGGATGTTTGAATCATCAAGGAGGAAGCCTTGGCAAATATAATTCATGGCACTTCTACCACCAGAACCACCACCACCACCATGGCCATCAACTCCATCCAGGAACATTCTGAAAGCAGCAAGGATTCCTGGGATGAAGACGGATCCCTCTTGCCACAACTCAAGCAGCCGTCACCACAAGACCCCGAGAGCAGCCCGATGAAACTCACGCACGGCGAGTTAGGTGTTGAGAAGGTGGACATGGAGCAAGAAATTGCATACGTTCAGGAGAGGGACAGAAGCAATCTGATGGATCACCTGAGAGAGCTTGAGGACCAGTTAAGAATCAAGATGATGAAGGCCAACAGTTTGTCCCTGCAAGTTGAGTCCTTGAATGAAGAGTATCAAAGTCCAAGAATTCAGGACTCGGCGCACTTAGGAGCGATCGGCGAGCTTGAATCCATGGAGATGATGATAAACCGTCTCCTAATTGTGTTGAAATCACATTGGTCGTACTCAAGGCATAAAGGGTTAACAATCTCTGATGATAAGAACCAGAAGCTGCCGATGGAGTTGGATGATGAGCAGAGCAATTTTGGCAACACTAACTCGAATTCGGAACAGAAGAATCTGATGTTGATTCTGAGACTGGAGTCTGCAGAAAATCTAGCTTCTTCCTGTTTTGCTCCTACAGGCCAAGAGGTATTCTTGCTGTAGCTCATCCTTCTTTAGATTAAAGCTCATGACATTGTGTTATCTTGACAAATTACCTTATTCTCTTATGCCCATTGTTCATAAGGTCATTGAGGTATTTCAACTTAATTTTATTTGTCCTCAAACTAGCATGATTCAAGTGTTCTTCGCCATTGATTTTGATAGTAGAATTGCTTGGCTTCTGTCTTATTGCAGGTGGAAGCTCCGGAAACAAACTACACGATCGAAGCAAATGAAACGGCAAGGGATATCGGGCAGCAATCGGATGATCATAGCAAAGAAATTGTGCAAGTGTTGGAAGTTAGATTGATCGAAGACTGCTCAAATTTTGAGCAAAGGAAACCTGAGTTCTCTTCCGAGAAAGGAGAAGAAAGCTGCACAAGTGAATTGGTGAGTGCTGAGACAGAGAAGAAACATGCAAATTTGGCTAACATGGAGAAGAATTGGTACCTTGAGGAATCTGATACGCAGGTGCCAGAGAACAGTGACGAGCCTATGAACAGTTCCTCTGATGTATCTTCCACGACGAGCAGTAGCAGTGTAGGCAAATCTAAACATCAGAGCCCACATAGAAGAAAACTATTTAGCAAGCTCAAGAAAATGTTGTCGGGAAGGCACAGCCACAGTAAGGAAAAGATCTACATAAATAAAACACCTATAAGCTGTGCCAGTTCTGATACCAGGGAATCAGTTTCCGCATGTAGCTGGGATGATGCGAGGAGTAATCCTTCTTACAGCATGCTTTCATGCTTCATGGAGGAGGATGCCTTGGCCGACGGTTTGTCCAAGACAAAATCCAGCGATGATCGATGGAAGAGTAATTCTGCATGGTGTCAGAGCTTCTTCAGATATCCAATTGGAATTCCACAAGCAAAGAGTTGTGGTCTACGAGATGAAGATATGGTTGCATGCTGCAAAAGCAATCAGGGAGAACCCCTATTCCATAAAAGAAATGGCTACCGGAGATGACAGAGTGATTGCTTTAAAGATAATTACCATTCATTTGTGGTTGATGCCAGTGCTCGGATCGGATGTATATAGAGACAGCATCTGATCGCTCCTGTAGGTGGACGTCCTTTGCTGCCATGGCTTGGGTTTGCATCTGTAAGATTGTAAGCTCACCTAAGTTTAAGCTTATTTCTGGAGAAATGAGGAAAAAGTTTCCAGTACAATGATTGCTTTTGAAGGGATCAGCATGTGTGATTTCTTTCTCCTCTTGTCTTTGTCTTGTCACCGGTAGTACTATGGAGTCATAGGACATGACAAGCCTGCCTGCCTGCCTGCCTGTGTTTTCCTTAGTTTCATGTGTGATTTCTCTGACCTTCCAAAACCATGTGCCTCTGTTGCAAATCCTGTGGGTCTGATGGAGAAGTAGAGAAGGAGATGGCCAACCAAAACATGATCAGCCTTCCTACTTCTGCTCATCAAGGATCCAAGTTTGAAGTGTTGGGTTCAGTAGTGAGTTCACAGCTCTCACCATCGAAGCACACGTTCTTCGAATCATAATGTCGTGACGATTCTGCCACTTCTCGAGCAATCGTAACTAAATCCCAAGTTCAACGAATCAATCATCACTGCGAATCTATCCTCAGATTTCATCCATTCAGTTTATCGGTTCCATGAACCTAAAGGAGATTGCTTGCAGTCAAATCTCAGTTCTTCTACAGTGGAGTGCGCGTCTGCTCGAGAAGCGCAAGGAATACCACCTCCTCAAGATCTGCGTTTTATCCGGTCTTGCATCGGCTCGTAAGGACAGAGATGCATGGCCGCGACAACGTCCTCGACGCTCACATGCGTTGCCGGGCTGAAACAGCCCTGACGCACCGCCCACAGGAAGAGGAGATCCATCGAACTTTCCCGTCCACAAGAACTGCACTGCAGAATCAAAGCATGCAAAAGCCGAAGCTTCGATTGGCGCGAGACGACTTCTGCTCACTGTTGACGATGCTCACATGGTAGGGACGCACTGCACTTGGATTTCCAATACCATACGACGCCCCATCTCAAAGCAAGGGGCGCGTCCTCCCAACTCTCTTTCTCGTTTCCAGTTTCTGATCCGGAATTGCATGCTCCATGGCTGCTATAAATATGAACTGTGAGCCTGCTTGTAGCTGCACATCGAGTCAAGGAGAGGAGCAAAGCCATGGAGGTCCCTGTGATCGACCTTGCGGAGTTCGAGAGTGAGGAGAGGAGCAAAGCCATGTCTCGATTTCACCAAGTGTGCGGGAATTGGGGCTTCTTCTGGGTAATATGATCTCTCTGCTTCTTGCTCTTGATTCGATTCGGTAAGTCATTCGATACTGGCTTCTTCAACGCAGGTCGAGAACCATGGAGTAGCTGTGGCTTTGATGGAGGAGATGAAGAGACATGTGTACTCCCACTACGACAAGTGCCTCAAGGAAAGGTTCTACGACTCGGAGTTGGCGAAGGGACTCGGGCCTCAAACCGATGCCGCAGAAGTCGACTGGGAGACCACCTACTTCGTGCAGCATCAGCCGGAATCAAGCACGGAAGACGACCTCGGCCTCGGGGTAGAATTCCGGTCAGTCTCCAGCCTCAGACTAGTTTAACGGCAGGAACAAGCGCTTACAGGTTCATTCGATCGATGTCGCAGCGAAGCCATGGATGCTTATGTCAGCCAACTGACCAAGCTCGCGGAGAAGCTGGCGGAGTTGGTCAGCGAGAACCTGGGACTGGACGATGATCATCTGAAGAAGACATTTGCGCCTCCATTTGTGGGCACGAAGGTGGCCATGTACCCACAGTGTCCTCAGCCGGAGCTGGTGACGGGCCTCCGCGGCCACAGCGACGCCGGCGGCATCATCCTGCTGCTACAGGACGACACAGTCCCAGGCCTGGAGTTCTACAAGGACGGGGAATGGGTGCCGGTGACTCCGAACAAAGGAAACCGCATCTTCGTCAACTTCGGCGATCAGGTGGAGGTGGTCAGCAATGGCTTGTACAGGAGCATGTGGCACCGGGTGCTGGCCGATAAGCACGGCAGCCGGCTCTCCGTGGCGACGTTCTACAATCCGGGCGGCGATGCCATCGTCGGGCCGGCTCCGAAGCTGCTGTACCCCGGCGGATACCGGTTCCAGGACTACCTCCATTACTACTTCGGGACCAAGTTCTCAGACAAAGGAGCAAGGTTTCAGGCCGTCAAGGAAATGCTCGAGTGAAGGCCTCGTGGCTTAAGCAATAAGAGTGTTCTCCCGCATTTAAGACTACCCTGTTCTGTTCTGTTCCGTTCCGTTCCGTTCTACTGTGTCTTTGACATCAACAAAATTGGTATGATTTAGATCTGAGAAGGTTATGAGCTATGCTTGAATCAATGCAGAATGAATGAATGGTATGCGCTGTTCGAACTTTAGAATCATTCGGAACAGCAGCAGCTGGTCGTTGCCTTTTTGTCTTGTTGCCATTCTTCCTCTGGTCGTTTGCTTCGCTATGCTGCTCTATTTTAGGGAAAGCCGACAAAGGTACAAAAAAAAAGACTACAAGATTGGATGAGGAGGTGAAATCATCATACCGTAATGTACTCTCCCGTACCTTTCTTTTCTTCATCAAATGACTACAAGATTGGATGAGCAAGTTTGTAACTATGGGGGGGTGGGGGGGGGTGAAGGCACAAGTAGATCCGACTCTCTTTTCTTCATCAAATGTCCATCCAGATGACATCAAGAAAAGAAGTCGCATCTGCAACAAATTTCTGGCAAAACGTGCTTTCTTGTGTACACCATTCAGAAAGGTGTTAAACGATCATTTGACCATATGTAAAGGGTTGCTGCTTATGACTAGATTTTGGATACTCGATAGCGTGTTCTAAGAGCTTTATATCAGAAATACAACACATCCTACAGCGCAAGATTTCTCAACTTTAATATCACTGAATAGTATGCAGAAAACAAAAAAAAGAACAGTAAATTGACATACCTGGGAATTAATATGAACCTTCCTAATCGGAGAACCGTCGGCAACAAATTAAAACTTTCAGTCTTAGAGTATCTAGTAAGTCAGTGATGGATAGTGATTGATTGACAACATTCTCTTTTTACATGGGTCGAACTTTGTCGACTCACATGTTTCGAACATATTTTAACTTATGCCTTTTATCGTGATAAATTATTTCTTCTTATACATGTTAGATTTTAGCATGCTTTACGAGATAACCTTCGCACATTAATTACTTTCATGCTTTCCGAGGTGGTATCCACACATCGATCACTCTAGTACTTTTCAAGGTGCCCCTTTACCAAATAATATCTATTCGAATTCGATTGGAGGTGCCCCTTTAAAAATAAATTTTTATATTTGATGGTAAAAGAATAAAGATGACAAACAATATAAAAGTGATTAATCAATATAAAAGTGACCTGAAAAATAATATCAAACGATGATTAATCGATAATATCCTTGCTATCATCATCACTAATGATAGAAACTACCAGAGTAATGGTGGACGCAGCAGTTCCTACGAGCAAAAATATAGTTGTTGTTGGCGTTTGTTACAACAACAGCTACTATATTTTTGCTGCGTCCACCATTCAGCATATCACTTCCGAAACAAAGGTTACACCAGTTGAAACCAGTCAGCATATCATATTATTCAAAAATCATCCAATAATATTCAAAAGGTCATATCACTTCTGGTATTGCTTTGATCCGCAAGTGAAATCTGGCTTCTTCACCAAGTTGATTGTGAGACCAGGATTTGGCGCATGTAACTCTAAAATGACCTGTCATCGGTAACAAGATTCAGATGAAGGCAAAAATTATAACATCAAGGTTAACAATTTAAAAGTGCATGATCCGTAGGCCTCAAAAAACGATTTGGTTTCTCACACATGATTGGAATTCAGTGCTGTCAAGAGTCATGAGGTCATCCATTTATAACATTAGTTACTACAGAACAACCAAAAGAAGGTCAAGATTATAACATTAGTTAGTACATAACATTGGTATAACATTAGTTAGTACATAACATTGGTATTTTAATCTATTTTAGGCTGACAAAGCGTGACTTATTTGTCCATACTGCTTAAAGTATATACACAAGTTCTTTCTTGCAGAAACTAATTACAGAAACCATTTATTCATGATATGAAACACCAATCTAAATTCTAAATTTCTCATATCATACCTAACATGATGAGCAATCTATGTAATTTGCTAAACACAATGATCCACAATAATTAACCACTCATTGCTACCTCCCATATACCACAAACCAAGCTAGGTGGGGTACCTTTAACCTGCACCTACACTGTCATTGCAGATTCCACATTCCAGCTAACTAAAATTTTCAATCAAACATTTTACATGAGATTATTTCTTTAGATATTACAAGCTTGAAAGCAACAATGGGTAAACAGTAGAAGCAATGTTCAATAGCATTTTGCTCTTTGGTAAAGCAATATAAGTACAAGTGTTTGCACATACCACAACATTTTCTCCTTGCCGAAGTATAGGTGCAGGCACATAAAGCGTGCATTGGGGTCCAAACAACTGCATGTAATTTAGTAATTTGGAGATTCATATAAGAAAGCAATTGAGATAAATCATCTTGGTAAAGACATCAACTACAAGAGTATAAGATATAAAGTCTCAGTATCCTACCGGCCAGAATCTTCCAATATTAAAATTGTTTACAAAAGCAATCCCTTTGTTCCAACCACGAAAAGATATAAATGTATCTTTAACTTGTTCAATCGAATCAATGTAGAAACGGCCCTCGTAAAATCCTGGTTCTGCTGAAATCTTCTCTGCGGCAACAAATTTACCACATAATAATCAGCTACATGTCCATATATTGCATTCACTCTCACCTCAGATATGAAAAAAAATGCAAATGGAAATGGAAATGTGTAATAGTGATTTTGCAATCTATTCTGCAGAAATACATTACCTGTCCTAGAAATAGAAACTTGCTTGATTGGGTTGACATTGAAAAGTTTGCTACATATGTCCAGTGAAATTGGATACATCTTCCACCCAAGAATGACGGCTCCATCAACGGTAACATTAGAGAGTATTCCCTGAGTATCAAAAGAACTTACTAAATCTTTTCAGTTTTTCAACGTATGCCTGGAAAGTAATGGTCATCAAAGTGATCTATGAACAATTTAAACTGACAGAAATTATTTGAATGAAACATTCACTATAAATTGAAGAAGTTTACAAGAGTATAAATGGAAACTCTTCAACTATCTCACCAGACTCACAGTGTAAGCCATATAAAGTAGCTAAACTAGAACACGATGACTTAAAACAATTGAAACTCCTGTAGAGGACAGAGGTAGCAAACAAAGTGAAAGAGAGATGTTAATCTATATAGTTAACAGGTAACCAACATAAAGGAAAGCATGGCACCCTCTCGTGACAGAAAATGACACAACAATTCTAACCAGTGTTATGAAAATGTACTGAAAATTCAGTATTGGTTTATTTAAGACTTCAACATAAGTTATGGATGCCAATGGGCCGTGAGATGCTCCAATTAATCTTACTCGAAGCATGGCTGCAACCTATATTACACAGAATCGAGATCTCGGTATCCCACAGTGACAAAAAACTTTGAACACTGGACATGACAAAGTGATTAATCTATAACACTGAGAATTAATTCATCTACTGAATTTTCTTCTAGATGATGATGGGGGTAACTGGCACCAAACTGATAAGCATTAAGCAGCATTACCTAGACTCCAACATACTACAATTACCTAGACAATTTATAGGCTTGTCCATAAAAAACCAAAGGACTGGATCCCTTTCCAAGTGAATCATGAGTGGTCAGTTTTGTATAGAAGCCGAAAAGGACTGTATTTCCTTAATTCCAAAACAAAGTCAAAGACCCTGAGTCCCTGTGGAACTAGAGTCTAGGACTCATCCAACTTGAACAAGTCCTAAGCAATTGGGCTGTGAATGCCATGAGGCTGTAGCAGCACTGATAAACATGATAGACTGTAGCTACCCACTCTGTAATCACAGATTGGACATACCATTTGTAAACATCACTAGGTAGAATTATGTACATACAGATAAACAATATACACAAAGACAGTAAAAGAGGAGGCAATACAATATCTGATATGTTGGCAAGAATCCGAACACCTATGAATGCATGCTACAAGCACCATCAAGCTACACAAATATGAATGGCTGGTTATCATCTACTTCATCTTGAGTGCCTAAGAACGGAAAAGACAACCTGAAAAATTACAGGTGCAAAAAGGATATGCAATCTAAACCCAACAGACAGACTAAATCAACATAACTGCAATTATAAATGTCCACAGTTAACAGTGCCTAAAGAAATTTTCATATGAGATAAAAACTTGAGTGTCGAAGGTGCCAAAACATGACAAACAAATAGAAAAACCATGCATTTTGGACCTCAATCCAGCATTTAGATGTAAATATAATAAAAAAACAATATGCAAGTTGAATATGTGTGAATCACTCAAGTGTCCTGTTTGCAGCATTACCTTTCTATCAAAGATGTACTTTCCATAATTAACACGGCCCAAATTTTCCACCTGAGTTGAATAGATTAAAAGCCACGTCAGAAGTAACTAAACCAGAACTTAGGACATACTGCTGAAAGATGCAATAATTATGAAGAAAAAGTAGGGAGCAGCTTATTTTTATCTAATTGATGGATATTTACTGCAATGTAATCTAAAAGGCATAGAAGTATGATCTCAAAAGATAGAACATTAACCAGAAAAGTTGACAAAGAAAAATATATATCACTTACACTAGGAAATGGAAAAGTTGACACCTAGAAGCACAAGTGTGATAAACATTGACCAAAAAGCACTCATTCTGTTTCCTGTTAGTTCTGGAGTCTAGACAACAACTGAGAAAAACTGGCCTCACAGTGAATGTTTTCAAAGACAATTTCAATAGAGCAACTAAATATTTATTTGCAAACTCAAAAGGATAACTTATCTATCATTGAATTCTAGTGTTGACAGTCATTGCACTGCAGGGTCAATGAAAGCAATACAATTGATTAATCGGTGTCACAAATAAACTAAAATAGAAACTTCAGTTATCTCATCTAACTGAAGTATTATGGTACTGACCAGTACATATTATGATACTGAGCAGTATCTGTTCTATATTGTTTGATATTGCTGAATAAAACAATAAAAATATAAAAATGAGCAACCCACCAAGCAGTACTGAGATGCATGGTCAGTTACTGGCACTTGGTCAGACCAATAAATACCAATTAATACTTATCAGTCCAAACATTTCTTTTTAACTGTCTAAAATGATGATGTGTTAGTAGGGAAAAGATATCTGATAATATCTTTTTTGCTGAAATACTAGAGTCTTTGATCATAAATTCAAGAAACCATGCAAAACTTAGCATGTGACATAAGCTAGAAAGGGATCTATAAAACACATACAATTACTTGCTTACCAGAATAAATAAGCTGATATTAGAAGAACAAGAAACTTTGGGAATCACAAGTTCCCTATTTGACCATCTTTCAATCACACCAACATGTCTAGGACTACCTCCATTCTTATCCATTGTGCATGAAACAAAAACTTGGGCTCTATCATGCACCTGCATTTAGCAATTTTAGACTGTATAGATGTTTTCTGCAATATATTGTATAAAACCTAATTGTGGCATAAAGCATATGAGATCCAACCTTCTGAATCTTTAAAATGCTACTCGTTCCCATTATAGGTAATTCAGAAACATACAGCAGAAACCCAAACATCTGAATCACAAGATAAAATATTAGACCCAACAACGCCTGTTCAGCCACTCAGAGCAATCAAGAGCTAGAAGAAACCATCAGAAATCAAAATTGTGAAAATAGACGGTACCTGGCCAACTGATTCCATTGCCATAGGTTGTTCACTTTCAACAGCAGTCCTTGGGTTAATCATGCCATCAAGGACCTCAAAAAAGGATGCAATCTTACGGACAGTAACCAAGCCATATCCCTTTTTTCCATTATCAGGAGGAGGTAGAGAAAGAACTACTCCACTATATTCTTGAATAACTCTTCTTAATGCTGCAAAGTTCAATATCCAAAATAACAAGTTCTTATATAATGAATCACATGTATCTTCATAATGCAGAATTATAGCCAATTATCCTTAGAAACATCAATTACAAATATGTCAAATATTTGTAAGATTAGGAACAACTACTTAATCGTCAGTACCAAAAAAATGTCAAATCAGACTATGGCCTGGATACGAGTACCAATGAATGAATCACCTTTCTTCACAAGCAATACCAAACAGATGTCATGCCCAGCTTTAGCAATTTTTTGCACAATTAAAAAAAGATGCCTATGCTCCAAAAGTATACATTTCAGATGAAGGAAAAGAAAAAAAATAAACACAAGAATAGACAGCTGAATTTGTATGCTTGGGTTGTATTAGAAGAAGAATAGAATGGTGCATTAGGCTCCAACAATACTGGATTTGATATGGTCATTGCAAGCAGAAAAGTTGTTTCTTTGACTCAACCTGGTCATCATAAATTAGCAACCTTACTATAACAATAAGGCTGGCCCTCCAGAATGCTTGGGTTGCTACTTTGCTATGTTGAGATGTTAAATGGCAATATATAGTCCATAATAAATTTTAAACTGGAATTTTGTTGGCATGATAACCTCACCATCGGATGAATGACTTTAATTGCAAATCAAGCCAACAAAAAAGAAACAACTAGAAAGTCATAAACTTACAACAATCAGGAAGCTACCAAAATGAAAGTAAAAAATATAAAAGTTTAGATAGAAAAGAGCATACCTTTATATTTCAGATTATCCACATCACCAGACTCCTTGATTGGAGCATCCTGAATTGCAGATAACTCAACAAATCAATTTTAAGTTAACTAGAGCTCTAATTCTTAGATGGAATCACTCACATAATCATAAGATGTAAGGTCAGCCTTGTAATCAGATTCATTTTGCCCGGTGTTTGCACCACTGTAAAATCCAAAATTGGTTCCACCATGAGCCATCTGAAATTTGGATAGCCATGTTACTAGAGCAGCTGGAGTAAAAATTAATTTATTCAATCAACAAAATTTCGATCAACATACATAGAGCACGGCAGAGCCATTTCGAGATAAAATATTTTCTAGAGCTGCAGCTGTGCGATTGGCATCAGTTTCTGTATTCTGCTCACCCCAATGTGTAAGCCAACCTGTATAGAATTCTCTGCAAAACAACAACTCCTAGTGATATAATATAATATAATATTGGTCTAGGAAGTGTAACCATATACTGACGCTGAGAGAGGTGGTGATTGTCCTGGGGCATTATACTTCTTCTGCAACTCAAATATAGGCCATGGATCCTCACCAGTTGAAAAATCAACAGCTGCACTTCAATTAAAAATCACATTCAAACAGGCAGTTAGTGCATACTAATTCTTTCATCTATTTTACATAGGTTGAAAGTGCAATTTTAGTAGCAATTTACTTATATTAAGAGGAAAGGGTGGTGCATTATACATAACAAACTAATCATTCAGGTAGCTTAGTCTACACTATTAAATATACATATTAATCATATTGCATGGCAGGTCCCACCAAATATACATATTAATCATATTGCATGGCAGGTCCCACCAAATATACATATTAATCATATAATTTTTCCTTACCCACTTAAATCACTTAAAGTTAAAAAAGAGAACTCATATTCATCATGTGCTTGTATTCATATGTTGATCCATCTTATTCTTATGTTCCTGTTTCCATCTTGTACTCACATCATATTTCATATACTTATTTTATTCTTTTAAGAAAATATAATAAAAATGAACATAACATATTCGACTATGTTAGTCTAGTTAAGTTATCAACTATACGGCACTGTGTAATAAAAAGGTATGAGCAAGTGGCTTTGTTCATAGCAAACCGAGCTGGCAGGATAAAATCCATTGACCCAACTATACACCATTTTGGTGATAGAAGGATTGGATCAGTTTGAGACTCACTATTCAATAAATTTATTCCAGACTTGACCTGAACATCTAGATTAAGTTTTCCTAACCCTAGTCGAACCTATAGAACAGTGGAGTCTAGTTAAACAACTCTAATTGTACTGAGCTAGCATGCTCTAGTAATTCCTTGTTGCATGAGTACTATTCATTCAGCAGCACACCTATGAAAATGATATCAAAAAAGCCCAACACAGTAACTTGGTGTTAGGGATACCTGATGGTGTCACTTTGAACATTAGTTAAAGCACACAAAAAGTTGGTGAATCTAAATACATGATTCTGTTGCCCACATGCTACATAACTTCTGATTAATTTTCCTTCATTAGCCATTACTGCAGTTCCATTGACAAAACACTAATTTCATATGATCAACCTATTAGTCTAATCTATTTGGACTCGCATTCAGAATTTTTCACAAGAAACATTAGTATTGAAGAGTAATGGCATCCAAACCAAATTAAACATAGACATCTAATAACATAAAAAAATTTTAGACAACATATGTGAATAATTTTGTGTACATACTACACCTGAGAAAACACCCTCTCCAGGAATTGTTCCCTTGTCCAGAGTTTCTCTAGAACCTCCATCTGTAGTATACCTACAAATGAAAACAAAGAAAATATCCAGTTATTGGCAGTTATATCAATTGTTCCAAACAACACTCACATGAAAAGCTACTAATCGGATTATAGTGACGTGAAAGCAAAACTGCAAACAAAAGTAAGCAAAAAGTTTAATTTCTATTACACATTACTATCTAAAGAAGGCTGCTTGGATATTACCAACTGAAAGATTTACTTAGTGCCTATCACAGGCCAGCCTAATAGATCAAGTGGTCCAGCAACTCAGATAAAACAAGCTTAGAAACCTGAGGCCCCAAATTCTTAAGTCTTTGTTTTATTACCAAATCCATTTAGCTTTGTATACCATCACAAACCCCATCATCCTGTGGGACAATCAGATATTAAATGCTCTTCTTCTTTGCTTAAACAAGAAGTAAATTCTGGCTACGGAAGCTTACCAACTCCTCAATTGACGAAATAGCAAGACTCTGATAATGCTTAATTCCTAATAATGATTGTTTGTAGGTGCTAAATTTCATCTCCTGCATTAAAATTTTCAGAAATTTTAAGTTTTTCATATCTAGAGAGTTCAAGCTGCTGCAGTCATGAACATATTTTGGCTCTCTAAGCAAATCTTTGGACAGCTTGTTAAAGGCTGCAAAGCCACATGCTATGCTACAGTAAAAACTATTCGACATTGCTAATTTGTCTAGCAAACAATATCTTCTTCAGTCATCCCTTCTGTTTGAACAATAGATCTCATATACTTTTGCTTTCAAATCCATGTTCATAATGCTAACTACATGTTAAGCTCTTTTCTTTGTTATTGCTAAATTGGCATTTGTTATATTCAGTCTTAGAGCTACTTAATCCAAAATCATTGGTTTTTGTGATTTATCTCCACAACTCAAGGTTAGAATTAATCGCAATTCAACCCATCCAATTAAGGTGATAATGTTAGCAAATTATAAACAACATGAAAGTTACTATCCATTCGGAGAGGAATATAGGAACTCAAGTTGATCTTAGATCAATTCTATAATAGTATAGGACTCCCTAGAAACTCCTGGTTTTCTAATATTAAACACTATGCTCGAGAAGAAGTCAAAGTGTCCCAAGAGATAATCATACTATAATTATGACTGACTAATCTAATTATTTATGCAAAAAAGAGAGAATGCAACAGTCATAGCACGAGTCTCATAAGCTTCATTCATGTCCATTTTGGGGCTACTAGTGCCTAAATCTCCTAATCTCATTAGGATTCATAACTAGTCTAGAAATCTCTGTTTAATACACAAGAAATATATTGGAAATACCATACTTCGTTGTCTCCCCTTTTTTGAGCAGTCCTAATGGGATTATGACTTTGGTCGTCCTTCCATCTTGTTTTATGTTGTTGTAATCCTGATATACCATGGCTTGGAACCTATGCTAATTGGTCAAGGATCCTCCTTTAAGCATCTATAGCATTTCCAAAATCTTTCTCTTGAAGTCAGCATAAGTTTCAAATTTAAATTATAGTCCCATAAGCCATCAAGTTAAGAGACAATCCTCTTGCAGGTCACCAACCATAGCTGATCTTATTGAAAACAGGACCATCTACCTTGTTCAACCTTCCACATGGCTAAACAGGGCTACAATTGGCTTAACATAGTCATGTCTTTGCAGGTCATGACTTGGTCAAACCCAAGACTGGTATGGAACCAAATTGCTTCATAATGCTAGACTATCATACAAGTCTTTCATGGTATCAATATAAGTGGTCGAAAGCAGTAACATCCTTCTTTTCTAAAATGAACCACACTACATGTCCAGGAATTATAGTATAACCTTTTTCTAAGTTAACGGAAACAAAGAACCTGCATTAGGGTAATAAATGGGTTTGGTCATTTAAAAAAAAAGTTATGACCATATTTCATGAATCAGACCAGACAACCTGAATGAGATGACCATATTTCAGCAAAATTTGAATTATTTAGTTCAAACTTTTAAACTATAAATTATTTTACAATGGAAAGTTCTAATTTTAAGCTTAAAACTAAACTTTAAATTTCTTATTACTAATTTGAAATGATGATAATGTGATTATTACATAAAATTTCAACTTCATATATGTACATGTGATGATTTTAATGTTATGGTATAATTCGTTCTTTTTATATAATTTTGTATCTAACAGAGTTATTGCAACACAATATTATGAGCTTAATGAAATAAGATGGTAAGCATTTTTCCCTATCTTGTCTTTTAACAATAGAAAACACACCTTATAAACTTGGCTTGTTGATGCATAAGGTCATGGTGATATACATAAACTTGTTCTCACAAGATAATGCATGTGATTTATTGTATTCGTATCATCCCCCTAGATATGGCAAGCAAGGAAAACAGATATCTTCTGGCAGAGATAACTAACCAACAAGGAAATCATGCAAGCTAAAAGAAAACTAAGAAATTTATTAAAGAAGATAAAGAAAGCAAAGAAACTTGTATAATTTAAATGAGAGAAAGTAATCCAATAATAAAATTACATACAGAATAATGTCATGCCCGAGGTGCTTTCTAGCCAAAGTAACTAGATGATGTAGATATGCTTTGTCATCCCCATATGATCCAAACTCATTTTCAACCTGGCAACATTTGTTGGCAACCAACCAGCTTTGTAGTAGGATGTAGTTCCAGGCTCTTTACATAATTTAGATATACTTGCATAATGCTACACTTGCAAGTAAATCTTGGCCGTATAAACAACAATACATGATAAGCAGCAACTCATATACCTGAACCATAATGATGGGGCCTCCATTTTGATACAATAGTGGAGCTATTCTTGGAAGAAAGACGGCCCACCATCTTTCAACCTGCAAAATTTAAACAACAATAATTTATAGATACCTGTAAACATATGTACAAACATGAAAGTGGGGGGGGTGGGGGGGGGAAGAGAGAGAGAGAGATCAGCTGTTTACTACAGAAGGTCCTACACATGATCATATCAAACTATTGATCCTTCCATTCCCAAAAAAGGTAAAGAATAACCAGACCGCCCAAATCTTCCCTTAAATTTAAGAGAGAAAGAAATAAAATGAAAAGAAGGAAATAAGCAAGTGAACTGACATTTTTATCACTTATAACTGAGCATATTTTAGTTTTCTATTATTTCTAGCAAATTGAATATATAACAAGAAAATTAAGCAAGACAAGCAGCACACAACTTACATGTTAATTCTTTCAAGAATTACCAAGACATTCAAATAAAACTCAATAGAAAAAGAGAAAAAAAAATAGAAGAACAACTTGAGCAGAAGTCAATAATCAGGAAAAAAATGTACATAATGAAGAAATGTCATGTCTGATGATCTGAGTTTAAGCGGTGGTTCTATCGCAAGTAACCAGGCAGGGAAACCTCCCAAGTCCCATTCTGCAACCAATATGAACAAATACTTTCAGAATAAATAAAAGTAACGAAAAGATTAACAAGTTTGAAAAAAGAAAATCCATTTCTAACTTTTCTGTTTAGTATTGTTATCAAAAGGATCCATAGGGTTCAATCCTGTCAGGATATACCATTGGTTTTACAGGAAGCCCTTTCCATGGCAACCACCATATTATGCATCTTCGACAAACTAAATTTCAAACCAACTAGATCTGGTTTTATTATAAAAGGTAACTTGCTGATTTGGCTATGTGCATAGCATTCACCATACCAAATAGTTTAAATCTAATATTATGTAATAGAGTTTACTGGCCAGATATGTCCAATGTAAGCAACCCTAAATACCGTTTGGAAACTTGTTCAACTTTTAGATCCAAATAATAAACCACTCCAATATCAGTTAAGTTATGCTCATATGATAGATCAAGGATCTCCAAACCCAAAAAGGACAAAACAATCAACCGAGAAAAATAAATATTAATAGCAATCAACAAGATTGAGAGGAAGATTTTCAATGCATACTTGTCCTTTCTTGAAGACAATATCTTTCGTTCCTGAAAATTGAAATGACATATCTTGTAGTCTCTATATTTTACACATTGTTTGCCACAAATGAAACCAACCCCTATTCCTTGAGCTGAAAGAAGCATAGAAGCATGTTGAATGAGTTGCACCTGTTAGCCAGCTTAAGGAATCAGGCTAAAATATGACATCTCACAATTCAACATGCTCAGAGTAGGGCTAGCGATAGTTCCAGTTATGGTATAAGTTATGTTATGAGGTTATGAGGTGAATGACACAATGACAGTCTGGAGGTTTAAGTGAAGTCAAAGAAAGCTAGCTAAGATTGATTTTTGCATCAACTTCTTTTCAAACAGCAATAAGGCCACTTCTGTTTGATCCTCAACATAAAGGGAAACTAGGCTTGACCTCGACTTAAGTTGCCAGTGCTTCATGTACAGACCCCATAACCAACCCATAAACCTGTCGAGACAGGTTAAGCAGGTCTACATAACAGTGCAAGATATCATAACGGGATTGAGACAAAACAATCAAATATATGACTTACCATTAAAGATAGATGAAGTAGTATTTATTGTTCATGTACTGCTATCTCCCAGACATGACTTACCTGCACATATATATGGCCCAGCTCGAAGCATAACAAGAAATCCTAATTCCTGGGCAAGCTTTAAATAGGCTTCAATGTCCGCAATACCCTCAAATACCCATTTGTTTGGCTCTGGTTCATGCAAATTCCAAGGAACATAAGTCTGGATCGTATTCAGGCCAAGAGCTTTTGCTCGTAAGAGTCTATCTCGCCAGTACTGCATAAACACATAGTATACTCCATATATAAGTAAAGAATATATGAAATTACACATACCAAAGTGTACTGAGCTACAATGGGCAGAAAGGGCTCAAACATAGAAAAAGTCATAGAATTCTTGAAACTTGACCACCAATCTTCATGATTTAACTAGAAATCTTAAGAATTAGGGTAAAAATAAATCTATATATAGGGAAGGCAACTCAAAATGTCAACTAAACCACACAAATAAGAAAAGCTTCACAATCCAGCACTAAATCACGAGAAATGGAGGGTAGATGTGGATTAAACCAACAGAGTATATGACCCGAGAACTGTTTTGTGTCGAAACCAGTGTCATCAAGATGACCTTGGGAACTTCCACTTCATGTAACAAACCAATAAGAGTACTCCCTTCGTTGGTGATCGATCTTGGGCTTTAAACTAGAAAAAATGTGGGATCGAAAATATATTCATTTGCTTGAAAAGGTAATAACCTTCAGACAACAACAAGGCGTACAGAGAAATACCTGCGGAAGAACACGGAAGTAGTGCACATCACCGCCGATGATGCGGAAAGGGCGATCATCTTTCCAAAACATGTCATCTGAAATCTGAAACCTCCGATCATTGGGTGCCTGTCCCAAGAACTGAAACACGTCAAAGCCACCTTCAAGAACTATAATGAACGGACCAAAAGAATCTGGCTCACGAGCAAGAAATTATTTCCGTCCAAGATCAAGATCGGGTTCTTGATGAATCTTTTGGAGAAGTAAGAGAGAGTGGAAAAAGTGGCCTGGAGAGTGTTACCGGGGAACCAAGGCGGTAACGGGGTGATCGAGGGGAGGGGAGTACGGACGAAGAGAAGAAGCCGAGAACAGCAGCCGTGAGGAGGAGCGCGATCCTCCTCGCCTTGTCTCTCACGCTCAAAGCACCCTCAAGAACTATGATTAATCGATTAAAAGAATCTGCGTTTACGCGCCAGAAACTAAATTCGGGTTAAAGATTTTGATGCCAAGATCAAGATCCGGTTCTTCATGAAATCTTCTGGAGAAGGAAGAGGAGAGTGGAAAAGGTGGACAGGAGAGTGTCACCGGGGAGCAATGGCAGCGATGGGGGATCGAGGGGAAGAGAAGAGTACGGAGGAAGAGGAGAAGCCGAAGAAGTGCCCGTGAGTAGGAAGAAGAGGAGGAGCTCGATGCTCGTCATCGACGCCATCCTCCTCGTCTCGGCTCTTACACTCAAAGCCACCCCTCAAGAACTATGATCAATCGACTACAATAATCGGGTTTCACGCGCAAGAAACTAAATTTGGGTTAACGTTTTCCAAGAACAAGATCAAAACGAGGTTCTTGATGAAATCTTAACCCTCCGTACTGCTACGAGAACTGGAAGGACCGAGGGGACTGGAGAGAGAGAGAGAGAGAGAGAGAGAGAGAGAGAAAAGTGAACTGGAGAGTGTTACCGGGGAGCCATGGCGGCGATGGAAGGACCGAGGGGAGGAAGAGAGTTCGGGGGAAGAGGAGAAGCCGGGGGCGGCAGCCGTGAGAAGGAGGAAGAGGAGGACGAGGAGGAGGAGCTCCACAGTCGTCGTCGACGCCATCCGCCTCGTTTTGGCTCTTCCGTTACCTCCAAAGAAACCAACGGAGAAACGAGGCTGATATATTTCTATTGCTTCTCGTAACGCTTTGCGTATTATACATCTCATCGAACGAAATCGACCGTTCGTTTGGAGACCAAAATAAATCTTAACCCTCCGTACTGCTACGAGACATCACGACCCATAAAACGTGTGAGCTGTGGTAATGAGAATGACTACTACTAAACATGGATATATCAAATCCACTTAGATAAAATGGATCATTATTGAGACAAAAAGATAATAAACATATAAAGTATGATTGAGTTTGAAAAGGATCTTTGCATATAGGCTATCATCAATCAATGATCGTAGAGACAATTACTTGGCATTATATCCTCGAGAGATATCCAAAATCTTGGTTGAGATATTCGAATTGAAAATTTGATTTATTGAGAAATTTATATGAAAATTTTAAATTCTAAACATCACATACGTTATATAATATAATTAAAAATATTTATTTTTTTAATTACTTTATATTATTATATGGCATCGGATATAGTTTACAAAAGAGGATATATTTAGTAGCAGTAATGAGAATTACTGCCACCAAATATGGATATATCAAATCCACTTAAATAAAGTAAGTCATTATTGAGACAAAAAGATAATAGACATATAAGTAATATAAAAGACAAGTACTCAATATCATATCTTTCTGAGATATCCAATATCTTTGCTGAGACATTATTCCGAACATGTAAACATCAAGTATTCCAAAATCTTTTCCACGATCCACACAACCTAATGAGTCAACAAGATGATGTGAACTTATTTGAGGATTAGGAAATAATACCAAGAATTGTCCAAATTATAACATCACAAAGAAGATTGTGCAGACAAGAAGCATGAAAACAATGATTTGCATAGAATCTCATACAAATTTACACACTAAAAGAACAAATCAGAACAAGGTATGTCATACAATGGAAGTAAACCTTCGGTGCACTCTAGTATTCAACCGATGAAAACAAACCACACCCATTCCATTTCAAATCAAGGAAGATAAGATGATGACACCCATTTCATGTTCAGGCACAGCAATTCTTCAAAGAAAGCAAGGATGAGGTTTCTATAAGCTTGGTACAGATTTTGCTCGAATAAACTGTTTCAGGAGAGCCTTTTCCTCGTCAAGCTTCTTCTTCTCTGCTGGATCGCTAGGCTTGACTTTCCTCTTCTCTTCCAGAATCCACTTGAAAAGCTGTCGTTGCTCCTGTTCTGGAATTGGTGGGAGAACCTTTATGGGTGCAGGAGTAGGTACGACAACTGATTTCTTCTCAGTAACTGCGGATTCGGTGGGTGTCGCTGGAGCAGTCACCAGCTCTTCAGCTTCATTGTTCTTCTCAGATAACTGTTTTATAAGGACATATGCTGCATATGACATGATATTTTAGACTGGGATTTGGTATTACTGGTGATGACATAGTAATATCCTGAAAAATCATCTCCTATGATCCTTTATACGGGTACAAAATTAAGTTTTGAGGATTTATCATCAAAAGCACATTGTAAATATGTAATACATGTAATAATGCATGTCAAAATGATAAATATAGTGGACAACATTCTTCTTCGGCCAAATCTCTTAAATCAGTTAAACATCCAAATGATCTCCAACTTGCTGTGGATTGAGAACACAATGATGATGTTAAACTTTACATACTTTGGGTAAACAATACTAATGGCAACTTACATATGGCATGATCAGAAACAATGCTGCATGCAAACTAAAACACAATTGAATCAAACAGCAAGAACAAATCATTGATATTTAGGGTACCACAGTTTGAGCAACCTGTTCAAATCATCCGCCAAGAACAAGCTTACATGATAGTCTTTCCAGTGTAAGAAAACAAATTGTCCAGGATATGGCATGATGGGGAAATCATGATACTTAAACAGCAGTGGGGCCTCATCGGAAGCCACAACATTATAGTGACAACACACATCTTTTAGTGCATTTGAAGTACAAAAAGTCCATCTAGAACGGCCACCTCTTGTGCTGGAACAACTGTCATTTGAAGTTGCATGCCAGAACATGAGGTTAAACTCTATTTATGCTCAAAACCTAGCTGGACTTCTTGTTCCAGAAATTTATTCAAAGCTGGTTGATTTTGAAATTCCGAGAGATGAATTAAATCTTTGGAAGTGTCAGGTGCCCATTTCCATGATTAAAATAAAAATAAAAAGCAAAGTGCAAAGTGCAAAGTCCTAACAGAATCATCTATCAAAATTTTGAAGAAAATGTGATAGGTCCAAAAGCAAAAGCACCCATTTCACTGATCCAAAGAACACTAGAATGGTCAACCTTCTTCGATCTGATGTACAATAGAAGTAATACATTCCAGACAATTGCCACAAGAGAGAAAGCAGTGCAGTTTAATAAGAAGTTTCACCATGCATAAATACAATGACCTTAATTAATGCATAATGAACTTCTATTCCCGAGCAAAAAGGATGAGATAAAGAGATGCACTGGAGCAAATCATGCCGGTATAGCACCAGAACCGCTGAGTATCAACTTGACATCAGAAAACAAATCAGATAACCAATGAGCTTTACTCCTAAAGATAAAAAGTAATTATGTCGCAATATAGACGGAAGTAACCTGGCAATAGTAAAATCAGATAACAATAGAATAATAGTTTCAGGATCAAGCATTTTCTTCCAGTACTACTTTTCCACTTTATCATGTAAAATTAGGTAAAGGCAGAAACATGTTCCAGAGAAATTAGTGGGTCAAACGAGGATATTTGATCAATCTCTATAAAGCCCAAACAATTTCCATACCTGAAAGAACCATTTAAAAAGGAAGTGTAATAAGAAGTTTCACCTTTTAGACATACCTTTTCTAGTCCTTTACAGTCAATTTCCATTTTTGAAAAGAACCATTGAGGTATACCTTTTCTAGTCCTTTGCAGTCAGTAATTTCCAACCTAAACAAAAGTTGCTTAATGGTTTAATGTTTTTTCGAACATGTCAAATACCAAAAACTTAGCTAAGATATGATCTAAACATTGTCTTTGAACATATCCATGGGTTCATGGTTCCACTTGTAATGTATAAACTGGTGTTGAAGCTGACCAGACACACCATATCTCTTCTCTGAGTGAACAATTTCCTTCCTTCATAAGAAATATATATATTAAATTCCTTTCTGAGAAATCCTGCAATTATCTTCAAATCAGTAATTTCACCAAAATCAAGTCAATGATACCGATGCTGTTAATCAATAGTTCGACATTTCAATAGTGATGAGAAAAACCATGTTCCACCAAACGATCACCCACGATTTGATTTAAGAATCAAGATGCCCTAATCCTCTTTGCATCGGTGTCAACCCACAAATATGTTGGTGGAACAGTCGGCACCAGGTACTTGAAAACACCATCTCAGTCTTGATAAAACAAGATTGATCCCCTTGATGAACAGGATTATAAGCCCCCAAAAAGAAGTCCAAATTTACAAGCTCAAAATCTACGATTTCAAGTGGCTTATTGAACAAACGAGTCGCATCAACGTAAAACCGAGAGCTCAAGAACACAAATCATGGATGTCAATCAAAGACTAGAGATCAACAACATGACTCTAATGGGTATTGAGATGATAGTGATACCGACCGACCTCCGATGCCAAGGTTCGCGGCGAGGAAGAAAGGCAGGAAGCGACGAAAGAAGCCCTTCTTCGCCACTGGTGGCGGAGGAGGAGTCGAAGGAGGCGGAGCAGCAGCCGACGGCGGCGAAGAGGCCATCGGAATCACCACGACGACTTCCTTATCATCGGTGCCTCGAGCAACGAGACTCATATGGCGGAGTTCTAAGCCCATGTAAAACATAATATGGGCCTTACTATGGGCTATAAGCCCATTATAGCCCAGCCCGACCAACACGTTACATCAACGCACGTAATAGAATCTAATATAATATCACATTAGCTTTTCTTGTCTTTACGCGACAAGCATTAATTGGTACCACAACGCTACCTTGTGAATCATCGGACTTGTGGACCCGTCGTCTACATCTCCACCTTAACAACGTGACCATATTAAGATTCTACCTTATCCAAGAGCTGTGGTGGGTGGTGGAAGAAGATCCTTGATATTAGAAATATAAATATAAATCTAAAAATAACCCTCATTTACGTGGTTCCAATCATGTAATTTCAATTCATTCGCGAAATTTAAGGCATTAATTTCCAGGATCTCAAAGCATACTTCGCTTCCCTCCCTCCTTTGAAGACGTGAAGTGACATGCTTTCGACTTCATTAAAGATTGTGCTGTCTCAATTGTGGTTTCATCACCTGCTCTGGACACTTATCTGTTCCACGTCGTCATTAGATGGATTGTGATGGGACTGTTTGCGTTCGAATTCATGCATATACATAATGGCACTATCATGGCAGCTCGCTGCAACTTGTCGCTGAGCACACCACGTTTAATGCATGCAGTCTCTCGTCGCCAAAGCTGTGAGAGTTGCAGTATAAGATGGATTCATGGTTGAGCAAGTCCTTCATTCATCCCAAGCTTCGTCTCAAAGTTTGTAGTAGCGCTTGGTGTCGTGATGACGAGGAGCACTTACCTTGTTGTGGCCCTCCTGGCCTCGGTGCTTCTGGTGGTGAGCTTCTGCAATGCCCAATTCCAAGAGAACCCTGGCCTCCTGCTGCCGAGCCAAGGTGCTTACCGCACATCTCTTCCTTCTTCTCATGATAATGATACATGGATGCAGCTACACCGTTTGATGACTTTTGATCTACATCTGTGTGAGTGGGTGTGTGTGCAGGGGATGGAATGGAGGTAGGGAAGAAGAAGCCATGGCCGTGCTGTGACATGTGCAAATGCACCAGGTCGATGCCGCCGCAGTGCCAGTGCTATGACGTGTTGGTGGGCGGCTGCCACCGCAACTGCAAGAGCTGCTTCTGCACCAGGTCGAATCCGCCCTCCTGCCGCTGCACGGACGTCATCTACGAAGACTGCGGCAAGCGCTGCCACCCGGAGGCCTAGCCCCGCCATCCGCTGCCGAGTTGCGTGCGTGATGGATGCATCACGGATTCGCCCAAATAAGAGCCGCAAATGTCACCACCTTACATATCTCCTATGCAACGCTTGTCATAACCTTATCAGTAGCGAACTTGAACCTCTCGAACCTCTCGAGCCACAGTGTTACGAAAATGTAATCGGCTCATCTTTGAATAAATGCAAATCGCAGCGTCAATCATTAGTGATGATCAAATTTGTACTTGATAAAGAGGATATCGTCGATCAACTATCATCTGACGCGTATCCTCCGTGTGGTGCTCAGACGAGAAGGAGACACAAGTTATCTGAGCTCGATTCTCCTCCTCCAGCTCGCTTATCTGAGCTCTCAATCTTCTCGAGGAGGCCCTTTGCAGCCTTTCCTTCTACCATAAACCAAAAGAAGATATATATGATAGATTGCAGCATGCACACCTTCATTAAGTTTCTCTCTTCGCCTTCGTTCCGATTTCATATGATGAAGCTGGTTGCCGGTCGATCGAGGCCCTTCTACTTGAGATTTGTTCTTCGCTGAATCGATTCTTCTCGACATGAGGATGGAGTTCTTTTCTCATCATGAGGAACAAGAGATGAATTCTCTCGGCTACTCATCGACATGGATCCGTAAGGGAAGAAGTCTCGGTGAAACATGTCAAAGATGGTCCAATTGTGCGTGTGGTGACATGATGCACCATTCAACCTTCACTTTAACCAGCTCAAACATGGATAGAAAGTGAATGCTAGCTGCAGAAGAACACTGCTCACTGTTGCAGAAGTCGGCCCGTTAAAAATGTTAGCTTGTACATGTTTGCACTAAAGATCAAATGAGTGCTTCTATTATAGACATTATTCTCACAAAATCTCGTCTTTTGACGTTTAAAAGAAGGAAGAAGATTTACTGATGCGGAAGATTAACATGCAGAAAAAGACAGACCCTAAAAGTTGAATCTTTTCTGATGCGGAAGATTTACTGCAGAACTCGATTTGTAATATTTAGGTAATCAAGTAAAAGAAAAAAGAAAGATTTGTAAATAAAGGATGGTTATCAAGTGAAAAAAAAAGAGATTTAAATCTCTATCCAACAACTGATACCCACATACACCACCCAATATCATCCAAAAAAATTTAAATACCAAACAGTAATGACTAAAAGAACAAAATAAATAAATATTTGATAGACACTGATGTAATGGATACTCTGTAATAGCATCAAAGGACACACCTGGACAATAATCAATAGTTAAAATTGTCCAAAGCTCAAGTTTTGGAAAGTTACAGATGTCATTATTAGCAGTATAGTGATTAGTGCCGCCAACTGAAAACTTCAAAACATATTCTGAAGACCCACATTGGTTCTACAAATTTCTACCCTTGTGTCTTTGAAAACTCAGGGAGGATAAAAATACATACATTGCAATGTTGGTTGACTTTGTAACTTCTAACCTATCCTGAGATCAGCATGCTTGTGCTTGTGCTTTGAGATTTCAGAACGTGCAGGATAAAGTTACTTTACATGCCCAAATGTTAGAGTAGCTTTTCGGAGACTAGGATCCAACGGCAGGCTGAGCAACTCCTTTAGCCTTGGCTGCTGCTTGGGCTGCGGCTGCAGCTGCGGCTGCAGCAGCTGCAGCGGCTGAGGGAGGCGCCGTTGGTACTGGTGGGGTACTCACATGCGGAGCTGCCACAAGCTGAGGTTGCTGCTGCTGACTATTTACTTGAGCAAGCAAGTTCTTGATCTGCACACCGGATAAGGTTTCATGCTCAAGAAGTGCATTGGCAAGGGCATGCAGCTCTTTGTTGTTGGTTATCAAAATAGTTTTTGCATTATGGTAAGCCCTTTCCAAAAATCCCTTCACCTCCTCCTCTATAAGTAACCTTGTTTCGGTGCTCATGCTCTTACCATTATCATCGTAGTTGTGGGAAACAAGACCAACCTGCTTGCTCATACCATACTTTGTGACCATTGCTCTTGCAACGGAAGTCGCTTGCTGCAAATCCGAAGAAGCACCAGAAGTCACTTCATTCTCCCCAAATATTAGCTCTTCAGCTACTCGGCCACCCATGCAGACATCAAGCCTTGCCAGCATTTGCTTCTTAGAGATACTTGTCTCATCCTTATCAGGCAACTGTGCGACCATGCCAAGAGACATCCCCCGAGGCACGATAGTAGCCTTGTGAACTGGAAGGGCACCATCAGTGTGGATGGCAACAAGAGCATGGCCACCTTCATGGTAAGCTGTCAACTTCCTGGATTCATCAGAGATCACTGCCGATTTCCGCTCACTGCCCATCATGATCTTGTCCTTTGCATACTCCAGATCAGCCATCGTCACAGCTTTTGCACCATCCATAGCAGCCTTAAGAGCTGCAACATTGACCAAATTTGCAAGGTCTGCACCTGAGAACCCTGGTGTGCCCCTGGCGATGATCATCAGATCGACATCATCTGCCTTCAAGACCTGCAGCAGAACAAAGCCAAAAAATTAGACAATATGTCCTTTACATTTAAGCTCTTTAAAAATATTTTCTTCAATCCTTTCTCGTAACTATTCCAATATTGTAAAACTAGAAACTAATCAACCATCACAAACAATAGAAACATGAGAGAGCCAAGTTGCCAAGTTTAAGATCAGCAAACCTTCATATGATGATATTTAGAGAGCATGGCATACACCAAATCTTAGTGCTACCATGAATTAGCAATAGAGTGACATGTAAATACCTTTGACATGTGTGATTCCAAAATCTGCCTTCGACCCTCAACATCTGGGTTAGGAACAACAATATGTCGGTCAAAACGTCCAGGCCTCACAAGTGCTTTGTCTAATGATTCGGGAAAGTTGGTTGCTGCAATGACAATAATCCCCTCATTCTGCTTAAAACCATCCAGTTCAACAAGTAGCTGATTCAACGTCATTTTCATGTACTGTTGATCCTTTGGATTTCGGCTCCCACCTATTGCATCAATCTCATCAATGAATATAATACATGGGGACCTTTTCTTTCCTGCAGTAAAAAGATCCCTGACCCTCCTAGCTCCAACACCAACAAACATTTCTTCAAACTCACTGCCACTGCATGAGAAGAAAGGGACACCAGCTTCTCCTGCTATAGCCCTTGCTAGCATTGTCTTCCCTGTACCAGGAGGCCCAACTAGCAATACACCTTTGGGAAGCTTCCCGCCAAGGCGAGTGAAACGCTAGAACAAGCACCACAAATGAGACAAATGATATGCCTTAAGTGAGTTTAAATTCCTTGATAATTGAAAAAAAAAAGTAATTCTTCATGCTTATAAACATGAAAGAACTAGAGAACAGAAGTTATCAAAAGTAAAAAGTTCCTAAAGTAATAAGCTTCACAAAGATGCTTTATTGCTAGCAAGCAATATTTCTTACAGCATAGGGGTGAACAAGGTAAATACACTATATATGCAATCGTCAAGAAAAAATTGCCAATTCTTTAAACACATGATGTAGCTAAAACATCAGGAAGAAACTTAAATTGCCTTCTAAATGAAGAATGAACATTTGAGGCTCATCTTTGATGGTGTATCTTAACAAACTTATTGCACCAGCCCTCAAAATGTTGCACTTAAAAAATACCATTTAATGGTTGCCAACAAAGAATGGAAAGCCCTACTGTGGATTGCTGGTAAGGATACATGTCCAAACAAACCAAGCCTCTAATGGATAAATTTCGCACTTCTGAGAAAGGAAAAAAATTGGACTATAGTGAAGTACAGAAGTCATATCTAAAATTTGGACTAGAGTAAAGTTATACCACTGCATAACTAAATGAGGGTGAAATGAAGAATAAAATGCCTTTTAGGTAAACATATCTAAAGGTCTCCTGGCAACATTAAGATTTTCATATTCATATGAATGCATCCAAGCATCATACAGCTAGCATCAGAAACAAAACTCATCCTGTCATAGTTATTGCAACATGTTCATTGTTTGTGATTAAGGGCCAAACAATCCAGCTTGGTTAGTGGAAGATGCCAATATGAAAATACTCATTATCAGGATGTCCAAGGGGACTAAAGTTACCAATCATGTTACAGATTCCTATTGTATAATCATTGGACATCATTAAGGCTGCATACCAGAAGCTAAGGTACACCTATGCACAGAAATAAAACTGAGCTAAAGAAGTGACCATTCAAGAACCATCTGAGGCACGAGTTGCACTAAGACTTAGCAACTTGCCTCAGTTGAGAATCCATGACCTCAATGTCGCATATTCCTTATTTTTCATAAAAAGGTGTATGTCTCATGCACCATTTCAAAAAGCCCAGGAAACTGAACAACATGCCTTTATGTATTTATGTATATGATTTCTTCATTAAAAAATTTATCCATAGTTTCATAAACTGGAGCAAATAATATATTTTTTATGAAAGGCCTTTTCATCTAAAGAAGAGACCTATTCAATAGTGGTTCATCTTGTATCTCATTATTAATGGCCCCCTTTATTTGTCTGATTATACTGTTCTTTTCTTCTTCTTCTTTTTCATTTTCCTCGTTTCTTACACCCCACTACTGTTGCTGCTGCTGATTTTTTTGGTTATTTTTGTCAAATGTGGTTACTCAGTGGATGCTGCTTCCTTTTATTCTGTTTCATAATCTACTGTTGTCTGCAGCTACTTTAGTATAAAATAATATTAAATTTTAAGTAAAACTTGTTTCATTTTTATTTTAAGAACCTTTTCATTAAAATTTTAGTAACAAAACCACTCAGAATCAATCATAAATTTTCAAATCTATGTTGTATACACAAAGAACACCCAATAGCTACAAAAAAGAACAGATATTTTTCCTTAAAATATAGAAATAAAACTTAGCCTCATAGCCATTATTACTTTAATAAACCTTAGAATCACAAATATAATGGATTTAGTATACCTTAGGATCGCGAAGGTAATGGACAATTTCCTCAAGCTCAGCTTTGGCCTCATCAACACCTTTTACATCACTAAACTTGGTACTAGAATCCATGCTTGGCTGGACCTCCTCATGTAGACCAAGGCCTGCTGAGATTTATGACCCAAAATAAATGCTTTATTCACTTAACTGAAGCATAATGGGTAATATGGCTAGATTTAATCTTAAAAGTAGCCAAACCTTTACTAAGACCTCTATCCTCAATGAGTGCTCCAACACCAGATAAGACAAGAAATGAAACTGCAATAGTCCGAAATGTACGCCATAGTTGCTCCTTAAAATTACTGGTTTCTGCTGTCACCATGTGGATCGGAGCACTTGCTGTCCCAAGAATCCCATCCTTTGTCGACTGGCCAACATTCTTTAATGCTGGAATACTGCTAATGCTGTCAATGCTATCCTCTTCCCTTGCCGAGTTAGCAATACCTAAATGCATCATTACCACATAAGATCCAGGTCCGTCAGAAAATATTTTGTTGCATATAAGAAATATGGAAATAGAAAGGTGATTATCTCCATTACATATTTTTGTTGTATGCTAAACAAGAGACCACAATGGGATGGATTGAAATTTTGGTTAAGTTTCATCCTCATCAATATCCAAAACAAGGATTTGTGGTTTCAACAATTAATCAGACCGAGGTTGCTTGTTGTGATCTTTCTTTCTCCATCTTCTTCCGTTCATCTCTTCTCTAGTATGAGAATAACTGGGTTGTGGGAAGAGTTAACAAACAACAGAGCCTTCTTCTATCTTCTAAAAAGGCAAAAACTTGTTCTTTGGAAGCAGTCACAGAATAACATCAGGAGATGTTTCATTTAATTAGATTCTTAATGTCTTCAAGACATCAGATCTAATACAATGATGTGACCTATGGTACTATCTTTTTATTCTCTACCTAATTTTTTATTTTTTATTTTCTTTTGTCCTCTTTATCGAACCTGGTTCCAGTTTCAGTTTGTTTGAGATTATACTTTCATGTCTTTCTCTTCCCAAAATGGGATTAAAAAAAAAACTTTCATCAAAACCCTTCCCTCCACACTTCTGTTCCTGCATAAAAAACTCTTATGTTTATGTTTATGCTATTAAAGTCATTGAAATAGAATTCTTCCTTCATTGCAGTCCATGCATTTCTTGTTTTACCACAAATCTTGAAAAAACAATTATGATAAGTCATTAATCAGGTACAAATATTCTCTTACCTCTTTGTAAAGTTTTTAACAATGTACTTTGTTCCAGCCTATCAACTTTCACCAATGCTTTAACATACTCAGCAAGTGCCGAAGGGTTGGAATGCAATGAAGGCTGACTTTCAAATAGTCTAATAACCCTTTCCGGATCACTTCTGTAGAGCTCTTTAAGCAGTGTAACATCATTTGACACATCTGTATCCCTCACTCTGCGAGCAAAAGTGCCAACATAGCTTGACTGGAACCTCCCATGGAGGTTTCCAAGTTTGCTGCCTGCAGGAAGTGAGAATACACAAAAATTAAAAATAAGTACAAAAAAGAAAAGACAACTGGTTGTTCAGTACATCAGAAAAAATAAAAACAACTTAGTTAGCAAGTAGACAATTTCTTCAAGATTTGCCTTAAATATGAACATAGTGAACTCAACTTTTATGAGCAATAAAGTTGAAATAAATTTACACATTTGTTTTCCATAAAGATGGACTAAAGCTCAACTTATATAAATTTAAAAAGTAGTGGGCACCTAATGAACTAATTATAACATTAGTATCATGTTTCAAAAGTCTTTCATGCTTATAACTTGACTACTATACAGAATACTTAGTTATCAAAATATGGTCTACAATGACAACTATGTATGGGAATATACAAAAAAGAATTGCAAAAATAAGACAAAATGTGAATTTCCGTATCTAAGGTTGCCCACTTACCAGAACAAAGCTTCCTCTTTTAAAGAAATTGAAACATGAATGATGATATACCTAAAAAATTTTGGAATTAAACAAAATGACACTTAATGTGAAAGAATAGTTGCTCTGCGTAACCTGCATGTGTACAAACCATCGTGAAGACATGAGTAGTAATATTTCATGGTTTGAATATTTTTACAAACTATATAATCAATTCCTTCTTTTCTTTTTATTTGTTCAATCAACAAGATTTTGAGACAGAATCGTTCAAATCAATTGGGTCTGATCAGAATCATTTGATTTTTCAAAAAATCAATCAATCCATCAGATACCTGACCTGCGTCAGTCTATTCCAGTTGATTTTATGCCAACCCCAGACATCTTCTTATTGATTTCTTAAGATACCCAAAAAATTGGGATATATCATGTCACCCAATGCCAATTCTGGTCCAGCTTGGAGTTTAAAAACCATGGATTAGAGCATTAGGTTTGACCTAGATGAACTCCATGGAGAAGGATCTAGTGACCTGAGTAGAGGTGTCGATGCAGTTTCCTCCTCACAACAAAACAAATCATTTGAAGGAGGGCAAAGGGGAGACTTAAAATATGGAGAGGTAAGCAAATAAGAAACTATTCATCAGCAATTAGAAATTTCAAACACGGTTTCATGGTTCTCAGAACAACTATGCTAGCCAACAATGATATTTCTTGTCATAGGGTGGGTGGGGGGGAGAGATTTCTCACTATCCTCTAAGGTTTAAAACTGTTAATTGGTGAGTGACAGGGTCTGTAGATGTCATCTGCAAAACCAGGGAGTATATGAAGCTTTACCTTGATTAGCTTAAATAAAAAAAGAGCTTAAAAATTGTGAACTAGTAATAGCCAAATTTCAACATTAGTTTTCAATGGCTCACCCTAATCAATAAGTTTCGGATCAAGTTTACACCATAAGAAGGCAGACATATTCAAGGAACATATAAAAATTCTTTTTGGGATGTCTGTAGATAAGATATAAACATGCCAACATAAAAAGAAATCAAGATGTGATATCATCACAATAAACTAAATAAGTGGAAAGATTCCTGCCACAAAGCGAGGAAACCAGTAAGAGATCAATTTTCTCAAGGCAACAACCAAACTGCCTAGTTCTGAATATGAACAAGGATACCCACATACCCAAGCCACCTTCAACCTTGTGCCCAACATGATGAAATTGGCCGCTACCAAATAATTGTGGATGCCCTAGAAACTGTTGTTTTCGAAGCTGTTAAAATACAGAAACCAAGCTTAGTCAAAAGAAAATGCATAACTTGATATTATTCATCTTAGAACGCAATTAAAAACAAGAAGCGACAGTACTAAAAAAACCAAAATAAACGAAAGAATGAAAGAAACTAAAACATGCTCCACCAAGCAAATCTACACCACCATGTGCCAAAACCCCCAAAGAAGTACGCTGATTTAGTGCGTTAAAAACCATAATATCCACTCAATTTCCAAAACCTAGAGCCCACGATTGAAAAAGATGATGGTAACGAAAAGGCAAGCTTTAGAATCATATGACACCTAAAACCGCATAAGTTCTTTACTTTCAAGAAGACAAGGGAAGGGGAAAACCCAAACGGAGCCGGTATGCCTAGAAAGATCCATCTGTCACAGCGAATCGGACCCCAAGAATCGACAACAACACTCCGGCACAATGAACGAAGCGAATCTGCAAAATGAACGGGAACGAATCGTACCTTCGTGAGGAGGCGCCTCCAAGCCATGTCCGGTGTGGGCGAGATCCAATCAAGGAGAGGGTCCGCGCGACGGCCGGGAAAGCGATGTCGGAGAGACCGAGGACGCAGCGGCGGCGGGGGTTCGGCCCCAAATCACGAGGTCTCACCCGGATGGTAACAACGATGCTAATATTAGAGCTGAGCGACCCACTCCGCCTTCTCCTCTCTCCTCCCCGAGGGCATAATTGGCATATTATTTCTTGATTTTTATACGTATATACCGTGTTCAGTGTACAAACGGCTTTTTTCCCCCCTGCTATTTTTACATATCTACCCTTCAAAATAACAAGAATATTAATTTTCTTGTCATTTTTGTTGTTGTGTATGTTATTCTTTTTGTTGAGTTTTCTCTAATTATGGTTAATGTAACCCAATTTAATAGATTAAAACAAATTTTCTTTTATGTTTAACTCAAGTTAATTTATGTTTTGAGATTGTTTGGAAAGGCTGAGAATATAACAATTGAATATAAATTATATATAATTATATGCTTAAATAAATAATTTTTTGAAATATTATTGTAAGTATTAATTGATGATTAAAAGTGGGTGAAAACTTTGATAGATTAGTATAATATTCTATAATCGAATATATTCTTTATTCTTTAAAGATAAAAAATAAAAATTTATTTTATGGTAAGAATATTCTTATTAGTCTTACAAATATCTCATCATATTAAACCGAGGGACTAATAGGAACCCGCTGTTCCCGAAGCCAATGGGAGTAAAGCGTGCTCGAATGCGATATCCCACGACGACGACCGATGACCCCTTCGTTCCTTTCTCTGCTCTTTCCTCTTCCCCTCTCTCTCAAGCCTAAAATTTGGGCAAGCATGATCTCTGCTCGGTTCTATCTAGCCCCTCCGCTTAATTCTTCTTTCGGTTGATCTCGGTGGCAGCTCACTTGCGTCATCGAATCGCTGGGACTTTTTTCCACTGCTGTTGGTGAGATTCGGCCAGAGGTTTGTTCTTTTTTTATAGGTCGTGTTGCTTGGATTAGGCCTGAATCGGGCGGGGGCTACTCTTGTTTCTGAGTGTGCTCGGATGGAGCCTCGCGTGGCCAACAAATTCCGTCTCGGTCGCAAAGTTGGAAGCGGGTCCTTTGGAGAGATTTTTCTGGGTATGTAGCCGCTTTAGCTTCGATCGTTTCATTTCAGCTGTTATCTACGTTGCGCGAGTTTTTCGTGACAGGAATGATCAAATTTTGATCTTGTTGGGTTTCTCCTCGTTGTCTTGGTTTCAGGCACTAATATCCAGACGAACGAAGAGGTTGCCATTAAACTCGTAAGTTTAGCCTTTAAACAAGGATTTTTTGCCTTCTTAAGTAAAGGATTAATAGTTGCTTTTATGATTTTTTTTCCCTGTTCGATGTTCTGTGGTCAATCTAGTCTTTGTCAGATTGATATATTTCTGTTGATTGAGTTAAACATAATTTCTTTAGTTTTTGTATTTTGTGCTTTATTTTTTTGCTTAGTTTTGAGGTACTTAGTGTTGCAAATTTCAGTCTCTTTCTCACTGAAAATGTGTAAGATGTCCTTTTAAGGCTTTTATTTTAGAACCTGACCTCATTTGCGAGGCATATTTGTGCAAAGTTCAAAAAATAGCATTCTATGTTCCTTTAAGGCCTCCTGGTAACAGGATGACCATATGATGAAACACAGATATGGTCGTTGCTGGCTGTCAAGTTTTGTGTCTTTGTTAGACAATATGGCTGCTGGTATAACGTGATTGCATGTTTCATAAAACCCATTGGATGATTTGCTTATATAGGCGAACTAGGTTAATATGCTAGTCTAGGGCTTTTGTTCTCATTTGCGTATTTTTCAGCTTAGACAAAATGTGTAGTTTTTGTAGCACCATAGTTTAGAAAACCAAATCATATTACATGCAGACTTCATCTATTTCTTCAAATAAACGTTTTAAGTGTTCAATTTATTTTGATGTTCTTTTAATTTACACGCTGAGATTACAGAACCTCAGGTCAGGGTGGATTTTTCAGCTTCTATCTTGTTTAAGATGGCAATGTTGATTCTTCTTACTAGGAAAATGTTAAGACAAAGCACCCACAGTTGCTATATGAGTCAAAGGTGTACAAAATCCTTCAAGGAGGAAGTAAGAAACTGTTTTTTGCTTTTGATTGTTTGGAAGATGATCTAGTCTTTCTTAATCTTCATTCTCTATTTTTTCTTTTCTTTCCTTGGCAGCTGGAATTCCGAACATGAGATGGTTTGGTGTTGAGGGTGACTACAACGTCCTTGTGATGGATTTGTTAGGACCAAGTCTTGAGGATTTGTTCAACTTTTGCAACAGAAAGTTCTCGTTGAAGACTGTCTTGATGCTTGCAGACCATATGGTATTGTAATAGTGTCATGTGTAATTCTGCTTGTTATGAATGCCAATTTCAAACAATGTTGGTATTCTTTAATTTTGTCTTCCATGTAGCTGAAAGTCTTATTGAAAGTGGTTTCCACTTTAAAGTTGTTGCTTCTACAGTATTCTTAGGTCTAATCTTCCCTTTGTTGAACCATGTTCAATTTTCTCCTCATCTCTGTGGGTATTTTTTTTTCATGTTTTGGTTTCATTGACATACAATCTATTCCATTTCAATCAGTTTGCCAGCATGCAATTTATTCTCGAATTGTTGTCATCTCTGACCAAACCCTTGTTGATGATCTATAATAGTTTCTTTTCAAATTTTGTTTCTTCATTATTGTCACAAAAGAATTTGATCTTTTTTTATCCATCAGATCAATCGAGTGGAATTTGTGCATTCAAAGTGTTTTCTACATCGAGATATAAAGCCGGATAACTTTCTAATGGGTCTTGGGAGACGAGCCAATCAGGTGGCACTTTAAGTTTTTCAGTTATCTAGAATGATCAAGTTTATTATGTTTGTGATTAAGTTGCTTTTTCTTATAATTTAGGTTTATATTATTGACTTTGGACTTGCAAAGAAGTATAGAGATAGTTCAACTTATCAGCATATTCCATATAGGTAAGACACCATCGGTAATCCTTTCCTTGATTTACTTCCCAGAGGCATAAGATATAGTCTTCAGACTATTATAGTAGATATTTCGATTATCAGTAATCTGTTTTTGGTAACTTGGAACTTAAATCTTCTCTGAGCTTTTTGAACTAAGCACTATGTGGAAACTCTTCTAACTTTCAAATTAGTCATTGATTGCTTCAAATTAGTTTCAAGTTCAGGAGATCAGAAAATGTTGTCTAATACAGCAGTACCTTCTTGTTAGTTCTTTTTATCTAATTACTTACCTTGAAATATGTTAGATCTCAGAATTGTAGTTTTACATGTTCTCCAGATCTTTGTATAATTGGAGGTCAACTGTGCCACATGTCATAACAGGGATGACAAACATTGCTTTTGCTAGCTTGTTTTATTTTGACACTTGGATTGGGCTATTGAGCTTCTCTCTTACTACCCGATAACTTTTATCCAAAAGAACTCCTGACTATCAGTCCTTCTATGTGTGATGATCTGTCCAGATGAGCCTCCAGTGTGGTCTAAGCATTCCAGGTAGCTACGATAACTACCTAAAAATCACAATTTGCTATTCGTTTTGGTTTTGGACTTCACGGGCTGTGAGGCTTCTGCAGGTTGCTTGTCACTCATGATGTTAGAACTTAGAAGGATTTGTTGAAACCCTTCTCTTGATAGGCAGGTAGGTCTTCATCTAGGATTACCTTCCTCAACATGGACCGAGTTTGATGGACCTCCATTTTACAGAGTTTTGAACTATCTATTTATTTGATGTAGGTCTTCATCATTTGTGGCTCTAATTTAGGTGACTCTATTTATTTGAATCTATTGTTGCAACTACACAGACCACTGTCATATTAGAATTAGTATGATTGTATTTAATAATCCAAAGAGTCCTAGTGTGTCTAGTTTTGGATCTTAATGGACTTTATTGGATTTCAAATCATGTGCTGCTAGCATGTTGTTTGAACTTGAAGCTCATTTTGCATTTTGATCTTCCTATTAACCATTGCAGAGAGAACAAAAACTTGACTGGGACAGCAAGATATGCAAGTGTTAACACACATCTTGGCATAGGTATGGAGCATATATCTTTTCAAATATTTTGCCAAATATCTTGCATTAGTTGTTTAGTTATATTGTCTACCTATTACTTGTTTTACTCAGTTGCTCTTGCATCAGCCGAGTCCTCTGTGATTCATTTCCTTTTCCCCTCATTTTACGTTTATAGTCCAACTGTTTTCTTTCCGGTTTTGACTGCCAAGAGCAAAGCAGGAGGGATGATTTGGAATCTCTTGGATATGTTCTTATGTACTTCTTACAAGGAAGGTCTGTTTAGTTGTCTTCCAACTTTTTCTTTCCTTCTTAAGGCTTTCTAATGTTCTATTATGAATTTGTTGATTCTTCGTTTACAGCCTCCCATGGCAGGGTCTAAAAGCTGGAACCAAGAAACAGAAATATGAAAAAATTAGTTATCGAAAAGTTGCCACATCAATTGAAGTTAGTTATTATTATGTCACTTGTTGCTGGCTTTTCAGCTTTTCTCATTTTCTATAATTAAATGGAAAATTTTCGTTTACTCTCAGGCATTATGTCGGGGTTATGCTTCAGAGTTTGCATCATACTTCCATTATTGTCGTTCGTTACGTTTTGATGATAAGCCAGATTATGCATATCTTAAGAGATTATTCAGAGAACTTTTTATCCGTGAAGGTTGATTCCTATCTTTTTTCATTATATAAACTTCTTATGCAGCTGCTCGTCAGTTGCGAAATCTGCAATGCTGAAGAAGATGCTGAGTTTGCACACTGCAGTTAATGGTTGTTTACTAATGATGCAGGTTTCCAGTTTGATTATGTTTTTGACTGGACAATTTTGAAGTGCCAGCAGTCACAGAATCCTAGTGCTCCTCCACGTGCTATTGTTAGTTAAAATACATATCATTTTTAAATTTAAAAACCTCTTTTCTCTTGAACAAATGAGACATATTCTTTTCATATCTCAGGCTCCGGGAGTTGGGCCTATCTCTGGCTTGGCTCCTGCTGCTGCAAATAATAGGCAGTCAGGTAGGGTAGTTGTCTATCGTTGTTGGTAATAAATAATTTTCGTTTCTAATTGGCATTATGCAAATCTTTTCTTTTTATTTGTCGATTCCAAGCCCTGGAAGATGCATCAGGCCTCTAACAACCAACATAAGCCTTTTCAGATCTTATGTGCATGCTTAGAAAAAAAAAATACAGTTATAAGTTTAATGATGATTTAAGAGTAGGATGTTGGGCAGTTATGGAACATGTACTTTTATGAGTAGGAATATTGTGTAGTTAGAAAATATGTACATAAAGTTAATGCTTGTTGAGATGGAAATGAGTTCAGGGAAAAATTAGAATTAAGTAGTGTTTACATCATGAACAACTTTAGCTCCAATAAAGAATGAGGTGAAGAAATATCGTCTATGATTGTGTGGACATGTTTAAAGGATATTTATATACCCAGTATGGACAAGGTGAATCGATCGAGACCGTTGGTGCGAGGAGGGGAAGGAGACATGAGAAAACTATATTCGAATCAATAAATTGTGATCTGATTATTATAGTTTGACTAGAAATGTTGCTCCAAGTAAAACTTAATTAACAAAAGATTCATGTAACTAACCTCAAATAATTGAGATATTATGACTTGTTATTATGTTTGTCTTTATATCGACCTGGCTAAGTAATTTTACGGAACTCTTGAAGCTAATCTTTCCTCTAGTTTCTTCAATTTCTCATCATTCTTGTTTGTCTCTTAAGCATGCACAAACTTATTGTCTGATATCTTTTATTATTTATGTTGGTTATTAATTCACATCTCATGGTTACGTAGCATATCTGCTATTTTACAATAAGATATACTTATCTTAAGTTGGAGGAGATTTATACTGTTCAAGTTGATTTTTAGGTGGTGAAGGACGTACAAGTGGTCGGTCAGGAATGGACCCCTTTCATCACACATGGGTTCCACCTCCAGCTGTACCTCCAGGGAGCTCGATGAAGCAGAAAATTCCCCTAGGCAATGATCCTTCTCCCACTAGAGGAGCTATGGTGAGTGATTTATTCTTTTTTTTCATCTTCATGCTTATCAAGCAGATTTTCTGAATGTATATTCGGAAGTCTTCCTTTCATATGTTTTTATCGGTTCTCATTACCATCAAATTATGGAAATAAAGTTAATGTATGGTGGTTTTTTTATCGTCAAATGCAATATTCTATTATTTTGATGCCAAAATATGTTGGATCAGTCTTTAATTCAATGAAGTGTGTGTGTGGCCTAGCACGTGAGCATGTAATCTGTTGAGTGTGTGGCTTCATAATAAGAAAATTTCTGTTTGATGGATGACACAACTGCATTTGCATGATTTGATTTTCACATATTCTATATCTTCTGACATGGAAGCTCTATATGTAGTTTTCGGGTTCAAATTATTTGGGGCAGTCAAGCGGATCTTCAAGGCGAGCTTTTTTTTCTAGCAGCCGAGACATGGTCTCTGAGGCAGATCTATCACGCACTAGCACGGCAGAGGTCAGCCCTGGGACTTTCCGTAAAGTTTCAAGCTCTCAAAGAGGTTCCCCATTTAGTTCTTTGGAGCCCAAGTGCACTTCCGCTGGAAGGAATCCAAACATTAAGAACTATGAATCCACCCTCAAAGGTATCCAGCGTCTTAGCTTTGATGATGAGGAGAGGATCCAGTACTAAACCAAGGTGCTGCATCTCTCTGTATGTTCTTTCTGTAAAGATCTATGAACAGAGCACCAGTAAGATTACACATTTATTTACCATGAGTTGGCATATGACTGGTTCTGAGAAATTGTTTCAGCAGACAGGAAAAAATTAATGCCGGCTGCCAGAAGCTGAGATATCGTCCGGCGGCTGTTCCACGGCCATGGTATGGCTCCTCTGTACATCTGTCTCGAGTTTGCCATGGCTCCTCATTTCTTTTACTGCCATCAATGTAATGTATTGTCTTGTTTGAAATTATTTTTGTTTGGTTCCACAATTACATCAAACCTTGATTAGTTTTGTTACATTTTTTTTTTTGCATTATTAGCTCTTATTGTTTAGAAGTCCACTGGCTGGCAGACAATTTCCAATACTGATTCATGATATGTTGTGGTAATCAAACCAAATTACTCCCTGAACTGATATGAAGTGTAACATGTTTTAATTTCTGTGTGTTCATCAGTGGATGAGGAAATGCTGGGGTTTGTTTTAATGCACCAGAGGATCACGACATTGAATGAAAAGATCTGACCACTTGAAGCAAGAGTGAGCAATCAATGAGATCATATATTAATGTAAGATTGTAGAAGTACGTGACAGTTAAGGAGGTAGTTTCCTTCTATTCTCATCAAAATCACATTTACACCACGTTATTTTCTTTCTTTTTTTATTCTGCAAAATATAGATTAATCAGAGTTAAAATATGGTGTCAATTTTATAAAAATAATATTTTATTTTATATAATTAGTTATTTTTAATATTTTAATTTTTATATTTTTAAAAATTATATTATGATCCTTATATTTACGAAAGTGAAACATTTAATCTCGTTTCTTTCGTATCATCGATTTTATTAATAAAAATATTATGTGCTCAAGTGGTAAAATCAAAATTAGATAAAGTCAACATGTATTTAATAATAAAATATATAGTATTTTTATCAATAACAAAATCGACGACATGACGAGAAACAAGATTAAACATTTAATTAATTATAGATATCTTATTTAAATTTTAAAAATATAAGAATCATGATATTAAATATAACTAATTATATAAAAATAATCTATAATTAGTCTATATATATATATAAGAAAATTATAAGGTGGGTGTCATATCCGGACAATTTCAATTCAGTTGGTGTGGGCGTGAAGCCATCATTTATGTTTTCTATCAATATGGTTGGACAAGTCGCCATAAATGCTGTTAGAAGTAAAGACAACCTGTAACGTGCATTACTGTGTGAGGCTTGCGACGTTAATCTCCTGTATTAAACGAAAAGCCAATGGATAAGCCAATAGCTCATTCTAAATCCCATCATTTTTTAATCATGTGATTCAATATTTTGATGAAGTTATTGTGATGGGCCCCTTCGATCGACCAATAACATCGGATCATATCGTCCATCTTAGCAACAAAGACTATGATAATAGTAAACATCTATCTATCTATCTATCTATCTATC